GATGTAACACAAGAGATTACTTCGTAACAACAACATGAACAGTTGTTGATTTAAAAAAATGGCTATTTTAGTGAGATAGTGGCACAATAAGTTGAGAATATCTGAGTATCTATGAGAGTGGGAAGCGGGAGTGGGAAGAGTGTTGTTCCCGCTTTGCCTAACAACCAGCCCTCAGCCAGCCAGGCTCCTGGCTCCCAGCCTCGCCACAAATGTGTGTCCTGGGCATCTGGCAATTGCCTGGATAATGTGGTTTACCAGGAGGTGAGGTCTACAGGTGCCACGCTGCCCTCCCTATCTTGGGATAGGTGACACCAAGGAGCTGACAGCACAAGACATCCAGCCACATGCAGTCTTTGCAGTCAGTTTAACCTATGAAATCTAAACAAGGGAAACAGGTCTATGAAAGACCGATGGGCTAAAGGGAGGGCACTCAAGTGACGTGACTGGCTTTCTTGCCAAGCGAGAGCAGGAGGGCACAGAGCTGCCTCCCTGCCGGCTGGGAGCTTTGGAAACACAAACGCCACCCGCCGCAGTGGCAACGGCAATTGTTAAAGAACAGCCCTGACCAGAAATGATTTCACAGAAGGTCAAACCTACTGGGAAGCATCAGACTTGTTTATAGTGCTTATCATTTTTATAGGGTAGTTGCTGTTTTTAGTTCTTGGTAATTTTGCTTTGGCTTGTCTTCTTCATGTGCAAAGCATGCATTTTTGATACRAACAATAACTGTGTGAGTTACAGGAGCATCTTAGGTGTACAGCTTKTTTCCTAAAAAATGAGCTGCTTCTCAGAAGAGTATTTACAAACAGTATATAGCATTCTTTAGCCTGCTCAGGAATTCTTTCATCAAGTTTGATCATTTCAGCTTTTTTTTTTTTTTTAAAGATTTGGGGACATCAATTCTTCAAACTGATAACTGCATTTGAACATGATTTTTGTGCTCAGCATTGTGTTGATAGGAATCATATAATCATTTTGGGTGCATTTCTGGGCCTAGTTGCTCTCAAGGTCTATCTATCTAATCCTTGCACTGCCTGTGACCATCCTGCTAATTTTGGGGGGAAAGCAATAACAAACAGCACAGCACATCAATATAAAATAATCTTCCCATCTCSCACATCAGATTTTACTTATCCTGTATTTTGTATTTACCAAAACACTTAATCTCCAAAGCCCAGGAATCTGCAGCCCTTCCCAAAATGCATGATTTATATMTGCTCTGGGTGACCTGTGGTCCAGCCTCCTGCAGCAGGCAACCCTTACACCCAGGACGAGCTGGGATGAGCCTGAGCAGCCTGAGCAGCACAGCAGAATTGAGCGTTGCTCGTCCCTACCTGCTGCGCCGCTGGGACAAAGCCAGCACGCTTGCAAAGCCCTGACCTTCTCCTCCTGCATCGTCAGCTCCACCATTGAGCAGCAAGAGCTTTGCCAGCAGCACCTCTGCCCTTCCGTGCCYTTGGCTTGGTGGTGCTCGGAGTGGGATCCCACCAGAGCACAGGTGCCTAYTGCAACCCCATAGCACCGAGGTGCCGGATGCAAGAGTGCAACCCCCAAGCCACCCTTCCTCACAGCAACGGCCAGCACCTGCCTCTCTCCTTTTGCAGCTACTTAGACTGTTTCACACGTGCTGGACTTCATCTGGGCACAGGCACTCACCGGCTGCCCCAGGACCTGCTCTGAGGTGTGGTGTGGGGACACTGGAGGCCTGTGACCTCCATCCCCGCTGCACGTCCCTGCTCTTCCACAGGAGGAGCCCTGCTCACCYGTGAAGCCGCTCAGCTGCAGACGCTTCTTGCAGCCCCCCAGGCTGGACTCCCCCCTCAGCACTTGTCACAGCCCCTGTGCTGCGTTTTGCCCCACAGAGCACAGGAACACAGGGTAGACACGGGCCAAGTTCCCTTGTGGAATTTGCAACTAAAGTTTTAAAGCACTGAGGCTGCACAAACACCTCCCCTGCTGGGGTTTGGTTAATTTACTTTATGATGCAGAAAAGAATAAATCTCCCATCTTCTCCAGGCTGTACTGGATCTTCCAGGCTGATCGATTTTATCTTGTTCTTGGGAGCAGCCATGTGTTTAAGGAAGAAAGTGACACTTTGCAGAGCTGGAGCAATAGTTCAGGCTCCGAATATCCAAATGACCCTTTTCAGAGCTGGAGCGACAGACGAGGCTCCCAATATCCATTTATTTTTTCCTTTACTAYTTAAATCATATTAATATTTCTTTAGAAATTACATACAGTCTGATGAAAAGCAATTGCCAACATTGGTAACAGAACACAAGCCATTGTTAGAGGCAAATATCTCAGGAACATCCCTCAGGAACATCCCCTAGACCAGCACTTACAGAGTCTGCGAGGTTAATTTTCCACCCATTTTGACTTAGCATTCATTAATCGTTTTTTACTCAGTAGAAGACTGTTGCTTAGCATGCAGGTTTTGTACATCCCCCTCTTTCCCATTTCAGAATATGCAGTTTCTCCTCCAAGTTTTAAAATTTATCACCTCCCTCACATTCGTTGTATTTGAAAATGCAGCTGAGATGTGCATGGAAGTTATGCTATCTGCTCTGGCACAGAGGTTGGAAGTTTCTGACTTGTATTTGCTGACTCTAGATGACTCTAGCTGACTCTATTTGATAAGAGTCAGCTTTATCTGGGAGCATCTCACTGCCAGGTCTGCTACTGGCTGTGTCACTTCCTTCTACAGTATGTATTTGCAATTGCTTGCTTGGCTTAAACTAATATATTGCACTTGAGAACTACAGAGAATTGCTGTACAGTAAATTCTGTCTCTCTAGGCATTATTTGGCATTATAAAAGAATATATAATTTATACTGCAATTAAAGGAACCCCCAGGCTATTGATTCAAGCTTCCATTAAGAAAATAGATACTTGTTGGTATGAGAACCGATAACTCTATYATTTCTTCCAAGTTTGAGCTTTCCTTGCAAGTGACAGGAAACTATGAAAAGGACTGAGGAATCAGAACACAACTAGAGAAAAGCAGGCAAAAGCAAATCACTTAGTTGACTGTAGAGTATGTGACTGTGGATTTTAAGGGATTTTTTTCCCACTGCACTTGCTCACCCAAGATGGCAATGAGATGCAGTGAGATTTTGAGACTGCTGTTATTGTAATTCAGAGCTGTGTTTTTAGCAGAACCAGTGCCAGGCAAGCACTGCCCTACCCAGCTCGTGAGAACATTTGATGGTTTTTACTGACCTCAGCTCCCACTTTGCTCCTTGATGATTAGCAAATGAGGCTACAGCACCGCAGTCGGAGAACTTTGAAAGGAAAGGTGAATAGGCGATTTCAAAGCATAAAAAATTCTGAACCATAAAACACATGACCTTGAGAAATAGAGGAGCTTGTTTCTTTAAAAAGCTTATGATGGGAGCTTTAATTTCATGTTCATAATGGGCTTTCACTCTACATAGCTGGTTCAAAACCTATGTACTATTAAGTATGTACTATTAAGTGTACTATTTAAGTGCTGAGTAGTAGTTAAGTCTCGGAGAAAGGACCTGAACTTTTCAGTGGTCTTTCAGCCTCGGAGAGGAGACTTTCTGGAGGTTACCCCAGCCGCAGTGCCCACCTCTGTCCTGAGTCTCGGACTTTTAGAGCCATATCACAGCACACAGTCATCTTAAAAGAACAGAGTAAAGCTCTGTGTGGAATCCCAAGTGACYAGTGGGAAACATGGAACTGCTCGCGCAGAAGCAGAAGAACTCCCTTTACCTGAATCCCTTCCCGATGCACAAAGTTCAGTGGCAGAAAACTCAGGGAAGAATTTTGCCTCTTGTTTTCAGCTCTGTGCGTTTAGCTTGTTGTTTAAATTTGGACCTGCAACAGCTGATCAAAAAATTTCACACATACCCCTCCCCTCCGTCCGACTAGAAGAGCATGCAATTAAAATATATTTTTTCTGAATTTAACATTAATAAAAAGTTAAATAGAATTCTAARAGTGGCAGGCCACGTTTTTGTCATTATACAAACTTTTTTTTTAATTAGCTTTTGAGCACTGACAATTTCTTAAACAATACCAGCACAGCTCCTGAGTATAGGAATCCAGTATTGCTGCTCTCTGGTGAAGACAGATGCGCTATTATACTCAGCAGACATACAAACATACACACACATTGAAATTTTAGAAAATGCTGTCACCAAAGTTCCCCTCTTATTACACCTAATTATTACACCAAYCATGGAGAAAGGTTGAATTATCGCAACATTTCCAAAAGGCAACATATTTTTCCTGTTTCACTGCCTCTCCTCAAAACACCTCCAAAGCAATACTGATAAGCAATAGCTTATCTAGTCTTTGATTCGGCTTTGTGTGCTCAGGATGCAAGTACAGTTCCCAGATGGAGTGYTACGGACATAATCAACAGCAGGACTTAATATACTAAGATTTAACTTAATATAATCAAACAGCTCTTGAAGCCAATTTACTCCAAAACATTACTGCTACTTAAAGCAGCAGTGAATTCACTGCTATATATACACCAGGTACTACATGTTGTATTCTTAGGCCTTTCCCTTCAAAATTCTCCATTTGTGACCAGTGAAGATCAATTCTTCTAATAGGCCCCTAATGGTGGAGGTAAAATAACAGGGTATTCCTGAAAAACTGAGTGGATTTTAAAGGCTGTAGAGTATACTTAAAAAATACACTATGTTAGTATATGCCTGCTCTTAGAAGAGAAGAGAAGCCTTCGCTACCCTAAAGGGCACAAGAGAGTGCAGACCTCACTCTTTCACTGCATTTCCTTTTTTTTTTTTTCTCATTTTCTCCTTGTTTTTTTTTTTTTTTTCCTTTTTTCTTTTTTTTTCTCTCTCTCTCTCATTTTGTAAAGCAAGGTCTCCGTGTTTCTAAAGAAAAGACTCAGAATCTACTGGCAATGTTCTGTCTGGAATGGCAAGGTAAGAGATCCTTAAATGAGTGGTGGCACAGCAACAGTGGAAAAGGAGAGTGCATATGAATGTTTCTAAAACCAGAAAAACAGAGCAATTTTTTGTTCCTAACACTGCATTTCATGTTTTTCAAGTGATATTTTTCTAACAGATGGTTCTTTGAGCCATGATTTCTTTGAGAGACAATTTGGGACACTTTTATCAACACAGCATGTTATCCCAATTTGGTCCCATTTGGAAACTTTTAGCTTTATTGCACATAATTATTATTGGCTGGAGATACACTACTGCCAGCAYTTGTACTTTACACTGAAAATCCCGTAGTATTTACTGTTTCTCCTACAAAAAGCTGTTTCTAGGAACTAAATGAAAAATCTCATATTTTTAAATGAATTTCAGGCACTCACACCTCTGTAGAAGTASTTAACGCTTAAATGAGATGAAAAATATGAATAAATATCATACTTTTATGGCATAACATTTTTTCTATGCTAGCTATGGTAGCTATTGTACAACTGGTAGTTCCTCATGAGTGTATAGAACGACTGAGGCAAACCTAAGTTTAGGAAAAGAGGACAACCTGCAAATAAAAAGCTTTGTGGCATCCTGAGAAGGGCACCCAAAACCACAGATGCCAAAAGCTGGTGAACGTCATTTGCTAAGAAGTTGTGCAAAAGTTGTTGTCTTTGGTCCTCAGTGATTTATGGGTAAGAAAAGGTTTAACGTCCCAGAGGACGTGGCCTCTATTTAGTATGTCTGGAAGGCAGTGAGTGTTCAGTTTGGAAAAGGACCTCCAGGCAGCTCTCAAAGTTCTTCTGTGTAACATTTTTCCCCCAAAAACTGTCATCTCACCTCAGGGTGACAAGCATCCTTTCAGAATAAAGGACGACTTGACCCCCCTGGCACTGGCAAAAAGTAGAATAAAGCAGCTAATGTGGGAGACAACTGCAAATGAAACAAGGCACAGTTCTCTTTTGAGCATTGATTCAACTGTAAATGAGCCAAAACAATCCACACAAAACTGGAAATCAGATACGAACTCCAACAATTCAGGTCTTCAGCCTATTGCAGCAGACAATACAGTGCAGGCCATTCTCCTTTACCACAGAAAGGTAAAGAGAAAAGAATTCTGCTTCCAGCAGAAATCTTTACAGCATGCCAATAAAAATGGACAGGTTTGGGGAATACTGCCAAGTCAAGACTGCTTTCTAAGGTATAATGCTTAAAGGGTTGTTGTTTAAAAAGTTTTTCAAGCGCTTGTGKTTTCATTTGTGACCTTGGACCTGTAAAGGGTAGTAGGTAGGGAGAGTATCATTGCAGACAGACAACTCCCCAGTTCCCAGCTGCAAGCCAGTCTGCATCCCCTTGGATCCACCCTTCGGCTCTGTGCAGTTTCTCAGCTCCAGATTTTTGGTGAAGCAGAACTCAATCTGGCCAATTGTCTGGGCTTTTTCACCCTAGAGACAGGAAGAATGAGATCAGCTTGTTGTGTAGAAGAAAATGAACGAGTACTTCACACATATTTGCCACAGTTACATTATACAGTAGWGCTCATTTGTAGCGTTGCAGCTTGGAAACGTGTGAGGGAGAGACAGATCATAGAAGTACCACCCTGAAGAGCTTGCAGCAAAGTCATCTTTAAGGAGCAAGCACATGAGGAAAGGCATTTCAATGTCACAACTCGGGATCATTTTGGGAGATCTGACTAGTAAGTCTCACTATGAAAGGCTGCAAAATAGGTTATCAGGTCTGCACAGCRCACAGAAGCTGCTCTTCTTAATGATGTGCTCCAGCTGAAGGATGGGAATGGTAAAAAGAAAYTCTGATATGGAAGGTCTCCTTTCATCAACACTCCTATCGCAGGATGGGAATTAAGGCAAAGAAAATTCTCCAAAAAGGAGAAAGGAGAAGTTTTACAGAAGCTTTTACTGAGAGGAACACAAAAGCATYTGGGAAAAATAGCAGAGATGTCATTTTTGAACTGCAGGACTGATGGGGAGGAAAGATACTGGCCACAAAGAAAGAGAGAAGGCCTGGAAACCAAATGCAGCAAAGGAGATTATGAAGAAAGCCTAAAGAATGGACAAGCATGATGAAGAAGTGCATGTGAAAAAACACTGATTTAGAAATTGCTAGAAAGCAGGACGTTTTTGTACAAAATTTTGTACATTTTTGTACAGAAGAAAAAAAATGTGTCTGCTTGTTTGTTTTTAAGAAACCTAAGAACACAGCAAATCTGTAACATATTTCAGGCATCAGAGCTCCCTGACAAGGCAGTCTGCCACCTCAGGCAACTACAAGGCTGGATCGCTGAAAAGGGTCAGCTTTGCATAAGTGGAGTGTCCTTTTTCCTCTCCATTAGTTTAAACTATTAAGTACAGGAGACTCAAACTGCTAAATTTCTTTCACCCAATTTGGACTGTATGCTGATTATACTAAAAGTAAGTGGTAGCACTACAATGAATATAAAAAGAGCTAAAATCTGGGCTTTGTGTTAGTTTTGTATTTCTTCAAAATCTAGAGGTGGGCGAATTTGCAACTGACATTCAGCCCTTATTCTTTTGGTGCTCAACCAATTTAAATATATATTTTGAATCACTTTTAACTTAATAATTCTTCTCATGGAAAGCAACATCTGAGCATGAAAGCCTCACAGCCCTGCTAAAGCAAATGAACCGACAACACGAGAGCTATTTAACACCAACAGCAACTGTATCTTGGCAAATTGTCATAAAACTGAAGTCTGTGTATTTGCAGTAACTGTGTTCTGTGATAAACCACTTTTATAAAACTCAAAGTCCTCTGTAAGAGGAAGTGCTCGCTTCTCTCTCTCTCTCTTTGCCTTCTCCTCTCCCCTGCCTTTTTTTTTAAGGGCAGGAAATTGAGTAACTTGTAACTGTCTGGAATCCTGTTTTGTTCCTTCAGGGACACTTTGGGCTCAGACGTGTGCACCTGTATCTTGACAGTGGYACACTGTCTCTGCGTACCAGGTTTTCCACTTCACTGGGACTCTCAGCCCAGTCATTGCCAGGGAAAGGTCAAGGGAGAGGGAGATTTTACATAAGATTCCTGTACGGAAAAGACTGCGATCATCCTGARCTACCCTAAAGCTCAGAATGCCTTTTTATACTGGTAGGGCCTTCTTGAGACAAGCTTCTCATTTGCTGTATTTCTGAGGGAGTCRTGCAGAATATCTGAGCCATGCCCAGTGAGGGAAAGCCAAGCACCACTTTCATGGGTAGTACGTTTRCCAAGGCCTGCAGTCACAGGTTCCTTTCTGATCACAGCTGTTAAACTGAGTAATTGCCTTTATGGTGATTAAGGTTTAAGCAGGAGCAGAGAGGACTCAACTGCAGCCTCACCTCTAGCCTGATGGTTGCAGTATTCACCCATAAACTGCAAAAGAGATGCAGGGTTGAGTTCTTTGAGATGAAGGCAGCTTTCAATGCAATACTCCCATTTTCTGGGCAAGTATACTAGCAGAAAGGCTCACCATGGTATACCAAGGGTGAAGAAAGGGCATTTCCTTCATGAGCTGTATTTATGCATTAAAAAAAGCTCCATCAGTAGTAACCTAAGCCGAACTCAGTGATGGCAGTGTGTAGGCAACATTTTCATGGACTTTTTTTTTTTTTACCTCTTCTGGAGGCAGACATTGGATCTTCAGTGTTACACCATAAGCCCTTGTGAGAGCTTCCTTTAAGGCAGTCATCTGGAAAACACAGAGAGCTTGGGTAAATGAAGAACTCAATAGCAGTAACTTCTTCCAATAGTTCTCATATTTGTAAGTTAACAAAAGCTCATAGACAAAGCACAACTCTAAAGACCTATTCAATTAAAAGATGCCACTTTATCTTTAGCAAATACTTGACTTCCGATTAAGAAAAATACACACAAATGATTTTATAAAAGACTGCCTCTTACCTTGTAATATGTACTGCCCGGCTTTATCCCAGCTTTCAGGAGAGAACTGAAACAAAGACAAAACACTTTCCGTGACTCCTGAACGCCAATATAACTTCGTAATCACAGGGAAAATGGAGAGACATGAGGAGAACTTGGCAAGCATTACCATGAAGGAGAGCTAAGGAAATTTGTTTCCCACCCTCTCCCTTTTCCAGGAGGCCTCTTCACCACCCTACCTGGCAGGGTGGCCTAGAGCTCCCTACCCTGCCTATTCCCAAGAGCTGGAAGGGGCAAGTGTTCAGGTGTAGCCAGGGAGAGGAAAGCACTGCTTTCACTCAGCAGCTCTTCCTAATGCTCTGTTGAGTGCCCGGTAGGGATACAGTTTAATCATGCCCTGTTCCCCCATGCCATTCCCCTGTGCTCTGGCCATGGGGAAGGGATCAAGGAAGAGCCAGGAGGCTCTGCGCATCCTCATGCGCCGTTGCAGGGGAGGCTCGCCGGGTCGTGGGGCACACGGCCCCCAGGAAGGGGTACAGGAACAGTCTGCAGGCCCCCATCAGCGTTACCAGTGCCCTGGCAGGGACGTTGTCATGGCCCCTTAGTAAGCAGGTCTTTGAAGAGGAATGTTGCTCACCTAAGGGAGCAAAGCAACTCTCCCAAWCCTCTAGCCTACCTTCCCCACCTCTCTAGACCTGGATCTTGCACAAGGTTTAATACGCCCGCAAGGCTTGGCACCCAGCAGGTGCCGAGTCCCTTAAGTCCTGGCTTCTTCAGGGAGAACTGGGAAGGTTCAGCACCTCTTGGAAATTAACCCAGTGCATGTTAACAAAGCTCAGTCCCTCCAAAGTCAGGTCCTGCACAGAGGAGATTTAATGCAATTGACTAGAGCTCTATGTGTTTGGCACCATCGTTTTACACTGGATACACRCAGGCCAGTAAATAAGATTGTGTTCTGTCATTCTTACAACAATATCTTCTATTTAATAAACTCTTTTTTGGAAGCAATCTTTTAATCACCATAGCACTACCTTTTCTCAAGAAAAGATATAAATGAAGTACAGTGAGAACATAAGCAGCCTGTATTCTCTTTAGTGAAGATTAAATTAATTATCTTCACTTTTACAACAAAGAAAGCGCTACCATTAACTTCAGAACGTCTCTAGTATTTTTGAGTGTTGCATATCCTGATTAAAGGAGTCACATAGTTGGTCACTGCACCATCTGTAAAATGTTTTAGTCACACAATCACACAGGCAATTGACTTASCAGACATTACTAATTTTAATAGTACATATGACTCTTAAGTGCCGTGCCTAGAAAAATCTGATGAAGATACTACAAAAATATGAGGAGGATGGAATAAAGACATATTTCCTTGCCACACATGAAAAATGAATAAGACCTTGGTAAGACATTGCTTGAAAAAGTGATAGAAAATGAGCTGGATTTTTTAAACATACACAGCTCTAGATAAATATGGAAAAACCATCTCAGTATGACTCAGAAGTCTGTGAGTGTTATCACTTAATTTTGAAGTGTACAGGTATTGGAGGTTTTTGTTAAAGAAATACATCTGACAAGGACCTTCAAAATTCATCAGCTCACACTGCCTGAAAAGATGCACGTTGCTGGCTCCCCAGGCTTCAAAGTAGCCAGAGTTGTGCTCGTCAGCCTCAGGCAACCCTACCTCTGAACTTTGGTATTAAAAATCATTTATGCTAGTGCTCGTTCTACTAAGCTACCAAATTTTTAGATTTTTTTYCTTTTTTCTTTTTTTTTWAATTAGGTTGGAAACATTTAGAGACTGATTGAAATGAGAGGCAGATGAGGCAGTTCACTTACGCACCTGTTAAGATCAACCTGCTTGTAGAGGTCCAGAGCTTTACCAAAATACTTCTTCTGAGAATTAAGGATCTGCAGTGTCGCTGCACAAGTTCCATGCTTATCCCACTCATGTTTCCTATAGGCAGAAAACAAATTCCATGATTTAGAAAACACCATTTGCAGAGATATGGTATGTGCAAGCTAGCCAGCATGCTTCAATCAAGTAACTGAAAGGCTATTTATATGGTAGGACATCTCATATAYACACAAAAATACTTCACATGCAAAAAGCAAAATTCTCCCCGCAAAAACACTCCTACCATTTCAGTCATTTCAACGCATTTTTTTTTTCCAGTAGAAGTATTTTCCACAAGATTTTAGACCTACAACGAGAGTTGGGAAGAAGCCTATGCCATTCATCCTCACGGTTTGTGGCATCAGACTACAAGAATTCTTTCAAGAAAATACGAGTTGACCTTAAGTTTGACAGTTTCATGAAAGAGACTTCAAATTACTGTAAGAAGTGTGGAAAAGAAAGGATAGTCCAATGGTCAGGAAATTATTATGGGCCTGGAACATCCAGAATCAATGTTTTGCCTTATATTAAATTATGCAAAAACCCACTTATTTATAGTTCAAGGGATAACTTGCTTCCTCCTCCCTAACATATCTTCAAAAGATAGCTGTGTTCTCAAGGCTGAAGGCTGCAAGGTGAGGAGATGAGATAAYGATGTGGAATAAATCATTGTTTCACTCTTAAGCTGACCGAGAGATCTCTACAACATAAGAGCGTCACAAAATGTAACAAGCCAACGGCATTGTTCTGGTACTTCTTTCACASTAGCTTAATACAGAATATATCACTTTTTTTGAGCTGTCTCCTTTTGAATTAACCTCTTTTTTAATAGCTAAATGAAGGAATTTATGAAATAAATATGTATCACATTCATGTGATATAAAGTTCTCTTCCTATATTATTAAGAGATGTTTGGAGATGAGAAGTGTAAGAATTTGCCCTCAAAGTGCATATTTCTCACCTTTGTGTAATTTCTAGTGGAACTTTTAGGCTAACTGAGCTTCAAAGCACTGATCTTTTTTTTAGAAGTGCAGAATCTTATTTTGAGCGAATCACTGTAAATGCACAAGCTGCTTACCCAGGATTGTTGCCTCAAGTTTCACTTTGTCCCCTTGCTGTACCTAGACAGGCCTGTTCTGCAATCTTACAGACTCACAGGGTGGTTGAGGCTGGAAGAGACCTCTAGAGATCCTCTAATCCAACCCCTGGCTCCAGCAGGGACACCCAGAGCRCGGGGCACAGAGCAGCATTCAGGAGGGTTTTGAAGACCTCCAGAGAAGGAGACTCCACAACCTCTCAGCTTGTCTCTATTGCACTACCAGCTGTCCTAATGCCAAGGAACAGACTGCAAAAGAAAACARTTCTTGCAATATTATGATATAAGCTCATATATAACAACAACAACAACAAAAAAAAAATGTGGCAAAGCTCCAAAGATATTCCTATGAGTTTTAAAAGTCTAATGAAAGACTAAGCAGTATAAACCATAATACGAACATCTGTTGTTTTGTTTCATGTTTTTTTTTCTTCAGATTTTCATGAGTCATTGGTGTTAAACAGGTGTCAGTTCAGCAGACACGCACAAAAAGTTATCATCTGATCACAGATGCCTGCTCCTACCAGCGCGTTCCCTGACGTGATGATGCCTCAACACTTCATGAAGAAGGAAAGAAACAGAAGGTCCATTATTTTTCATCTGAAAACATGCTTTTGAGTTCTCCATTCCCAGTGAAAACTAAAGATTCTTCTTAAGAAATTAAGGCACTTTCAAGAAGCTATCCTTAGAACTAGAGAAAGTGGAACACTCCTTTTGAACAGAGAATGAATAAAAGAAACTGTAGATCCGCGAGATTTCAAGAAGGAGAGAGCATAGGCTCCTGAAAGATTTTCATTGTATGTTCACAAATCCAGCCTTGTGAAGTGTTCTGATCTTGGTTGTAACACACCTAATTTGAATCTGACTTATTTGTTCGGGCATGAGCAGACATTAAAACAGTTCTGATTGAAGTAGGTACCTGATGGTCCTTTTAGCTTTATGTTACAGAGAACTAGCAAAACTAGGCAGCAAGTTTTAACTGGAGCATGTCTGGTTTAAATAGAAGCATATATGTCCAGTGAACTGTCAGCTGCCTGGAAAACTCCACTTAAAGTTGGCCAAACAGCAGATTTCCTGACAAGGTATTTGAAGTCAGTGATGAGAAAAGAGACTACAATTTCACAGAAGATGGAAGCTCTTTTGGAGGCAAATTTGGCAAGAGATATGGGACAGTTAGCTTGGACCATAAGCAGACAACAGTCAAATCCCAAAGGCAACTAGGACAGCAAGAATCTGGAGGAAAAGTTTTGCATGCAGGATGCCATTTTTTTCCAAAGATTATATCCACATATCTGTGTAATAGGATAAAATGTGGTCCTCCTCTTTTCCAGGCTTTCCACAGTACTTTTTTTTTCTTCTGTTTCCAGGAGGAAGGCAGACAGAGGGCCACGGATGTGACGATGCTATGGGCACATGTTACTGCTCAGAGGCAGCTGCTACTAATCTGCTAGGCCTGACTGCCCCAGGCGATGGGACTGTGGGGGTTCCCAAAAGGAAAAACMCACAGGGATACCCCGAGACAGTGCCACTGCTTCACCAGTTGTGGAAAGCCATGAGCAGACACTGCTCAGCTTTTGTAATCAGCACTGTGAGCTTCCCTAGCAAGAGAGCCAATTTGGAGTCAGTTTAAAACAATTACAGCAACCGCAAGGTGATGTTTCCTTTGACAGGGTGATTTGGTTTTCGCAGCAGAGCCACACGAAAAAGCAGAGCRAGGAATATGCACGCAATTCTGACAATTAAGCACATGCAGATGAAATTTCACCTTAACCTCTTCCACTTCAGCAAACTGAAGTGGTAAGGAAACAGAGGAGCTGCAGCTTCAAGGAAGAAAAAGAATTTGTGTCCACAAATGAAAAGAATTAATGCCTCGGTGTTATTCAAGTMCTTCATATGGGCCAGAATAAGACAAGGTCATTCCACTGAAGCTTCAGCTCATACTTGTGTGGCATGTGGATAGAGAATGTAGCTTACTGTATGCAGAAGGAGCACCAACCCTTCTGTACTGCTCATATTCATGAGCAAGGCACTAACGCTGAGCACATACGGTAGGCAAGAATTTTGCTGATCATTTCCCTCCCTGTAGGACACAAGTACCTTGGCAGGCAGGCAGGAGTGGGGCCTGCCACGTTCGATTGGGGTCTACTGTGTAGTTTGTCTAGCTCCATCATAGCTTTTCTCTACAGTGTTGTTAAGAATRGATGCTAGGCTTGCATTGCTCAAGGCTGAGTTCTACACATGGAGTCTGAAGGGGCTGCAAGAAAATGCAAAGGAATGAAGCTGGCACAGTTCAGCTCTATGGAAAGGAAGCTGAAACTCAAAGAGACTTCACTTGCTGTTGTGTGCAGCAAGGACTGAGTTTCCCCAAGCACTCAGTCATGCAAATGTGGCAGGAATCCACCCAGTTTGAAAACTGCCTTACATTATTAGGGTAGGAAGAAAGATCTGTAAGCCTATAGTAGTAGTGCTACCCACAAATCACAGAGGATTAAGGACACTCCACTGTCCCATACACAGAAGTCTGAGGACTCCTTGCGTTAGATGACACATGGAAATGACCCTGAAGGGAGTTCTCCTTGTCTGAAAGTTTGATGTGGTCCAGAAGAGCTTAACCGAGAAGTTCTTTAAATGGGGTCCTTTCAGTCTATAAACCTTGAGATAAAAAGCACCCTTATCCCCTTAGCTGCAGCCCCTGGGTGGYAACAACTCCAGCCCCTGGGTGGCAATAGTCACAGTCTGTAGGTTAACAAGGTGAGCAGAAAAACACTTTTTTTTKTTTGTTTGTTTGTTTGTTTTTTGGKTTTTTTTTCCAAAGCTATCTCCAAATCCTCAGCAAGGAGAAAGTCCTCCCTCACCCTCTGAGCCAGGATTACAGTTAGAGGTAAACCCAGGRAGAAAGAKGCTACACAGTCATGACAATCTTTGAAGGATCCTGATGTGGTAAGTGGTGCTACTCAGTATCCACCTGGCTTCTCACTGCTTATGCTCTTTACATAATCAGCACGTCGTTAGTCTACAGTAACAAAAACCTCACTCACCAATTTCACTTAGAGATTTTTATTTCTGTCACACTGGAATTTTAAAATAAAAAGGTATTTTTTAAAAATGAGAATTAAATATTTTTAACTGAAAGAAGCACAACAGGATCCCGGTTCAGGAGTTTTCGTTTACAGAAATTGCAATTAGGATTGCCAATCTCAGTAAACTTTTTTCACCTTACTGAAGGTACTGAATTATTTTGTCAATCAAAGTAGTAGCTACAATATTATAATCTATTTTGTATTGCTTTTATATTAATGATATTTCCAGGTGTTGAAATAAACGCTGCCAAGTATCCATGAACTGAAAGCAAAAGGGGCTCGATGAGACTTGCTCACACCTGCTGTCAACCAAAATACCTCCATTAGTAAAACAAGGACTGCTCTGCCCACATTTCAGACGAAATCACTTCTTTCCATGAGCAGGTGGTCACAGCATGGGCAGCACTAGTTCCAGCAGACATTTATCTTATTCTAGTTCCAGAAACAATTTGCACTGCAGCAAACAGAGAGGCAGTCACGCTCTCCCTGGCACCCAGGGATGGCACAGGGCAAGAAGAAAGGGGTGCAGGGAGAAGCCTGGTGAGTGCCATGGACAGGGTTACAGGTTTAGGCTGCCCTAAGGCACTTGTGCAACTAGTTTAAGACTGAGGATCAGGACTTTTTGTAGAGTGGGGACGAGACTAAGAGACAGCCATTCCCTTCCAGGCTTTTCCCAGTGATGCAAGGAGGAAAGAGTCATCCAAAGGAAAGTTCCTCAGGCACAGAATTAACTGAAGAGCTGGGATAGAAGTTACTGCTCCTAGCTCTGCACTCCGCTTATGACCGGGTATTACTGCTATCGCAGTGGGTCTGAAGAACAAATTGCACATCCATACCTCAGCTCATGCCAAGGCGGCAAATTAACTTGAACTACCACACCTTTTAATTTAAAATAATGCACTCCAACTGAAGCTAGTGCAAGCACAAATAACACCCACTACTCATTTCCCTTCAGTGCAAGTGTCCCATTTTTCAGAAAGGAAGAGTAGCTTGGAGAAGGAGGAAAACAGGCCTGTAAACAGGAGAGATCAAAATCTCCTCTTTCTCCTGAGCTTGGGAAGCTCAGGCAAGTGCCCACTTGATCTGTGTTTAGACTGCTAGAAAAATAAATAGTAAGAGAGAAGCCTGCAGAAAAGTAGCCAGGACTGTCTGGTCTATCTTATTTTTTCTATTCACTCCTTTGCAAGGAAGCCCAGAAGAAAAGTTTCCAAGGCCAGCAGTACCATGGAGCTGGACAGAGAGAGGCCAAAAAGCTGTTTCTGCAGCTTTTTAGCTCYGATGTCCCAGGAGAGCTTCTGCCATTCAAATTTAAAGGTGTTAGCAGCAGCTGCTGCTTCTCCCTGGGGGCAAAGAGAGCAGATTCTGTCCCTCCCTCCAAGTTCCACTTCTCAAGAAGCTCTGCAACAGCCCCCTCTTCAACAACTGCTTTTTGCAAATGTTCTAGAAAGAAATCTAGAAAGATTTATTTATTTATTTATTACACCTAAGACTGAGAAGTGATTAGGAACTGTTTTCAGTGGTGTCCAGGAGGGTGGCTGCTTGCCAGGCTCCTGCCCTCTCTGGGTACAGCGCACACATCCTACCTGAAGGGTTCCCAGCTCATATGCACTTTTTGTAAAACAACATCCAAAATACTGGAAAGTTTTGTTGGAACTCACCAGAACTGGGTGCGATTCTGGGAGGAATGAAGCACATCAGGCCAATAGCGTCTCATGTCTAGCATAAGATCCTAAGAAATAACAAAAATAAGGAAAAGCACCTGCACAGCTCAAAAGCTATTTCTTACACAATCAACATATATTGACACATTTTCTAAAACAGAAGCCTGCCTTTCAGCATCCCTGACAAGCATTCACTGGCACAAAAAGGAAAGATGTCCTTTCCCCACAATATTCTGACAAYGTTGCTGTTGGAGGTGGAAGGTAGGTGCAAATATCTAAATATCTGAAACAATGTATTAAAAGACAGATTCCCCTCCTGGAGGGGAAACTATCAGTTATCTTGCCAATTTGTGCAATCATCAAGCTTTTCACATACGTAGGCTCAATCTCACATCTATGTTTACAAACAAATATATAACATTTAGAATTCTTCCTTTTTAATATTTTAAGATGACAATGCATTGCAGTTTTCATTCTTCTTCTCTTTGTTATTTGTGYCTATGCTTGGAGATACTAGAGAGGACTTTCATTTCTCTTAGCAGTCCCAGGAGAGGAAAAGGGTTTAAAGCAGCTAATGCTCAGTAATAGCCCTGTGAGAAGACACACACAAAATGGACTCTGAACTATGTTCTATTTTATGAGTTCTGGCTTTGCAGCAGAAAATTATTTTTAAAGCACATGAATTAACTGCAACCTCTTTTTCACAGGTACTTGTTACCGCTGGAGAGCCACAGCCTATAGTCTCTATTTTCTTTTTCAGCAGAAAGTGCCTGAACATGTCAAACCACACATCTATAAAATCAAATGCAAAGGGCTGTTCATCATAGGCACTACAGGCTTCAAGTAACACCAGAAGCACATACTAGATGCTTGGAGTCTTTAAAAAAACACAGTTGTCAGTAAACTGCTTGAAGATAGACACATGATGAGGTACAGATTTTGCATACAGGATGTGCACTCAGTCCTACGAGCTACGACTGTTTTCATTTAAATGAATACCTTAATCTCGGTGACATTGAAGTGCCATGTCCTGTTACAATCGTCAACTTTGTTAGGCCTAGGGAAGAAAAGGAAAAGTGGGAAAAAAAGGATGTCTCACAACTCACTAATGGTAGGCAGCAAAGTGTCATTAGCCTAAATTTTAAGCATGCAGGATTATAACTGRAAATTTGATTTAGAAAATAAATGCAAGGAACCTATCTGCATCCACAGTGCTTTACAAGTAAAAATTTAAGACATTMATCCAGAATGTTTCCTGAAGAAAGAGGCTGTGTTAGACCCTCCAGCCACTCTCATCCTGTGTAAAGGACACATAAGGAAGAGTGATGATATGGAAGGGTCTTGCATATAAGGTCACTGTCGAAGCCGACCTCCCCAGCCACTGTATCGTGTGATGCCTCTGTAAGTCACCACTGAAACCTGGGTATGATGCTGCTCACCCTCCCAGGGCACAGAGCTCACCAACCCCCTCTACTGAGTTTCTCCCTTATTTGTCATATTGAAAACCTTCAAAATAGTGCTGTTCACACCAGTTCCTGCAAGCTGATTTCTTGGAAGCAAACATATTTTTCCTAGGCCTTTACAACATTTGTGCTGAGTTAAGACTCCTAGAGGCACAGGCAGTCCTGAGACACTAACAGGGAGAAAGAGGGTTTTAGTTTGACATCAAYGATTTTATGAAGAGATGTGCAAGTAAAATGCTTATGTGTCAGTAGGATTTTAGGAGCTCGGTGTGTCATGTGATATATAGGCATGAATTTCGGTTTTATAACAAAATACAGGTTTTTGATTTACAACAAAATGAGGGCTTTTGTTTCAAGCAGTCATAAGATAAAATAGATTGATTGAACCCTTGACAGAAAAACCATTGAACCTCCTAGTACAAAACTACTTTTTTTTTTTTTTTTTTTTTTTCCCAAGTAGAAATAAAAGCACTCTATCATCATACCAGAGTCCATGGATCGTCCAGTATTCTGGAGGGTCTTCACAATCATTAGCACTCATCTGTGGAAAATAAGAATGCCGGGTATTTGTTGTGTGTGTTCAGAGGCAATGGCTTAATGAGAAAATAAGAGCTCAAGGAACCAGGGAAAAATGAGAGCTCTGACTTGCCCCAGAGCTGATGAACTCCACATACCTGAAGCAGCCAGGGATTGCCCCACTCACTTGAGATCAGCTGGCACTGAGTAAAATTTTGAAGCTCATCAAGTGAATACCAGAAAGGACTTTGAATGAGTAAAAATAAGACAGATTCTGAGTTAATAGAGGGCAGCCTGATCCATGCTAAACAAATGGATTTAAGCCTATCTTGCAATATTCTGTGTGCCAATGTTGAATATTTTTCTCAGTATTAGTCCTTCCCAGGCAGTCCAGAGCTATCAAAATCAATGTATTTTAATGAGTCAAGAAACTGTAGTATTAGACAAGCACACAACCATCTGCAAAAGTCCTGGAGTATTTTGCTATTAGATTACAAAGGAAAAAAGTACAGAAGAAAAAAAAAAAAGGATGAGATAGGTGCTACAGAGCACATCAAATGGGTTGTTTWTTCCAAGCAAAATGGTGAGAATGTATTTTTAAAGGTTTTGGTTTGAGGGAGGAGAGCAGGGAAGGGGCAACACATACACTCCCACCAGAAAAAGCCCCTACATAAAAATTTTGGATAATGCAGGGAAAAGTAGCCTACACATCAACTGTCTTTTAGGTTACTTTGCTTATTCACAACTACTCAAAAGAAATCCTCTGCTCACACAACAGAAAATACCATTACTTGTTTTTTCCCTGACTATTCTGCTCAGTAATTATGGCTTTTTAAAATCAATGCTTTACCCATACGATAAGATCCTCCTCAGACTTCCTTGAAACATCAGCTTCCCCTTCCAGCTCTGTACTTCACGTCCTGCCTCAATTAGGTCTCTGTGCGCTTTAGGCAAGATCAGAGTGGAGAAGGCCCCGCGTCCCCTCCTGCTCCCACTCCTCTCCCTTCCTGCTCCTGCTCCCACTCCCCTCCCTTCCTGCTCCTGCTCCCACTCCCCTCCTGCCACACAGGCACTCCAGGAAGGAGAAGCAACCAAACAGAGCTCCGTCTGCTCCACATGTCCTCCCATCCTCAACACACGTCGGGGCACGTGCGGCTCCAAGGGCTTAAGGATGATTGCCCTGGAGCACATGGGTGAGCCAGGAAACGAGCACTGCCCCAGTCCCGCCAGCACTGGAAAGACACTGAAAGGCACCAACATGCTTGGGGCTGGGCACAGAACCAGACCAAACACCCAATGGGTGCAAAAAGATCTGAGCTCGGCCTCTGGGGGCACCAACCCTCCTGGTTTCTTCTACACATTTTGTCACCKTGCCTGTATGCTGCCATGTGCTGCCAGCTTGTGGCACTTGTGAGGCAGCTGCACTCACCTTCCATCCAAAATGTTAGCATTGATGTTTTTCCAGCGTTAACAAATAGATGGCTGGAACAGGAGTAAAGCTAGAAAGTCTGGGTGAGTGATGTGGAAGAAGGCAAAAAGGCACATAACATGAAATTAATTCTGTTCTTTCTTTTTTTTTTTTTCCCCTCTCTCCATTCACTTGGAATGTTTCTGTTCACCTTCTACTATAGAATAAGGATTTAACAGAAAATGTAAGGAAATCTACATTTTTTGATACTTGTAACATTCACTCACACACTGCCCTTTAAGGTCATATTTGTCCATTTATCAAAAGCATTGCTCTAGAGCAGAGAGTAATAGCCAGCAGTAACATATGACAGATGAAAGGTGGTTTTTTTTTTTGGTTTTTTTTTTTTTTGATAGTTTTACTCTTTCATTCATGTAAGCAGGGATTTACTAATGCTTTTGGCTCTGAATACMCAATTGCAGGAAACAAAGCACCCACAACTCTGCCATCTGTAACAGTGGTGTTTCCTCAACACAGAATCAGACATAAAATGCAGCAAATCTCCCACCCTCCCCCTCAAAAACAAGACAAGACAGAACAGTGGCTGCTCCTTTGCCCCAAGGCGTCGTTCACCTTTGAGTTTGCTCTCGAACCCCCACACACTTGTAGCTAACCTGAGCACACCGCTTCTCCACAGAAACCTTTASCAATAGTTTTGCCATTACTGCTTCTAGGAAAAGGAATCAGGAAGTACCTATAGCACAAAAAGAAAACCCTAATATTATAAATATATAAGTAAGCATTGATGTCCCAGAACTGGGATCTGTTGGCTGCAGAGAGCAAGATCAAAGGTTGTCTTTATTACCTACAAGATCCTTCATCCTTGTGTCAGTAAATCTGGTCACATTTTCCTTTTTAATATACAGTATATTTTTATACTGCTATCTGGTTTTAAGTATTCAAGGCTTTCAAGTATTTCCTGCATTAGAGAAGAAGTTCTGCTTATGAGATGGTAATAAGTATTTATTAGCAAAAGGACCATAAGAATTGAATCTCTTAACTGTGCTCGACAGCACTTTGGGTTCATTTTTGTTGCTCAAAGACACCTGCTGGAACAGCTTCAGATCTCATTTTCTTTTTTTCTCCTGATTACATCTATATTTGAAAAGCACTCATTAAAACTCTAGTGCCAACATTACCAGCTAAACCAAATTGCACACCAAACTGTTCATCGACTACTCTGCTATTTCAGTCAAAATAACCACCACCAAGTGGTTATTTATTTGTCACTACTTTACAGAGTGTGGAGAAAGTTGCATAAAGTTGRAGCAAGATCAACCACTGCCTTTATAAAAATATAGGGGCAAACGTAGGATTAAACACCTAAGGGACTGTGTTGTTTACCAAAATATACTATCCATTTTCCACAGCCTCCCTTTTCAGAATAAAGGAAAACAAAAAACAAAAATCTCACCTTGCATACAGTCACTGGCCAGTGATGAGCAAGATATAGTTTATCCCACGTATGCGGGTGAGTGTCACTGGAAAAAGAGAGAGAAATCTGTTTTTCTCAAACATTGCAAAAAAGAACACCACTGCCAGCCAACAGCACAACACTCATTTCTGTAACACATTGGGTTTAGAGCCGGTTACTGTTTATAATTTCTCCTGCAATACTTGAGAATTACAAACACAGCAGGAACAAACCATAACAAATCAAAGAAACGAGCAACATATTCAGAAACTTGTAAATACCCTCTCATTGTTAAACAAGTTTCCCATCTAGCATCCTATCTCCATATGTTTTCTGCTTAAAATATGGAAAARGTTTTGTTCTGTTTTCTATATAGAAGAGTGTTAACTTGTAAGTTCTTATTAAAAAAAAAAAGATATCTTAGGACATAAAGAATCTTTTATTTCTGTGTGAAGAGTATATCAGCTGAAAAGGAAGTATACAGTGTTCTTAGTTACAGTACTGCTAAATAGAGACTKCAAACAAACAAAATCAATAGCGTTGACATCAGCCTTTCAGACCAAAAAAGAATAACGAAAGTAAAACGCAGGGTGTTAAGCAAACACAAACCTCAAAAAAAAAAAAAAATCACATACATCTACTGCAAGCACGGCATTTTTAAACATTTTTGAAGCATTAACAGTTCTAACAGAACTTTACTGCTGCTGTGGAAATCTGAATAGAAGAATTCCCTAACATTATAGCAGATTTCCGTGCTTAAAAATGTCCTTGATTAAAATATATATATATATTTTTTTTTTCCTAGGACACATTTTATTGGCTAAAGATGCAACAATAATAATAACGCCAGCAACAAAGGGATTCAGGTTATCAGAAGAGAGTTTTAGCATCTTAAACTTATAACTGCGGCCCAAGCCCTTTTAAACCACCAGATCCTGGTTCAGGGATATGTCCCTTTTTTGGACCTGATAGGCATCTGCTCTAGGCAGTTTAGCTTAGTGGGGACCATTCTGACCAAGATGTCAGAGATTTCTGTTGAATTCACAACTTACCTTAGCAGGGATGTATCTGCAGTACATCCACAGCACAGCGCCATAGAGAAACAACCAAGAATCCAATAGTGCAGCTTAGGAGGCTTCATTTTGTTAGTCAGGTAGCTGTAAAAAGGTGCTACAAAAACAAAAAAAGAAAGAAACTTTTTAGTTATTCAGTACACTAAATTGCAGAYTTAAAAATCACCAAAGGACCAGAGTCCTCACAGAAACAACAAGCACTGACAACTCTATGGTGGATTTAAAATCACAAGGATCTCTCCCACTGCTGCATCTGATTTGTGACTCACATACTTATTTCCATACTCTCCAGAAAATAGAGATATATGCATTTTCTATGCAACCCTACTTTATGTAATACAACACTCCACTTGTGGGCAGCCCATGTGCCCAAAGAGATTAAATGTTTATTTATCAAACACYGAATATTCATCTCGCATTCACCAAGGTTGATATCAGAAACTAGCTGGAACTGAAGTATCGTGTCTGCAGGTGTAATTCTCTATAACTTCTTGACTGAAGCTGAAAATATTGCTCCTGGAAGTGGATTAATTTCTGTTCTTGCCCTACATCTCCACAGAACCATGTGCCTGCCTGGTGTACCTAATACTTGGTGAATCCAGGAAGCCAAGCGGAGCCAAAACTTTGCTTTAACCAACAGCACTTCTGCTCAGCTCAGGTCAACCTCCAACCCCATCCTGTGCAGAGTTACCACACTACCTCAAAGGTTACTTCCTAGATGCCAGAAACAGAAGTACAYGCACATATTTACATATACTCGTTTATGCTTCGCCAAACCCACTTTCCAGCTTTCCCCTTTCGACATATGTTCCATATGATTATGTCTCTACAATGGGTAGTAGATACATGATCAAACCTAACAGCTCAGCCTGCTCTAAGATCTAATATCTCTAGATGGGCCTTAGCTGATATCTTCTCACTTCTGATTGACTTTCTTCAAAAAGCTCTGAAAAATTTCCACTAAGCATGMAGGAAAACCACAGGAAAAAAAAAATCAAATAACTCAGAGCAGGCTATTTTGTATACAAAACTGATTAATGATATTAAGCTAGTCCTTAGCAAAGGCAGATAAAGCAAGATAAGCATCATATGCTGAAGAAACTTCTATTTCCATCATGCCCAAAACCTCACAGAGAAATGCAGTGTGCCCCATTTCCCTGGGCACTCTGCATTTAAAGGGAGGTTGAATCTCATCACATGAGCAGCAGGGATTAACCAAGCGACACGGAGCTGCCCAGGCCCTGCTTYGCGTTTCAGCAACTGCTACTTTCAACCGACAATCAATCAAGCAGAACCTCTTATTTCTGCACGATATTCTGTCTACCTAAGACAAAACATTCAGAGATGCATGCAGTCTTTATGTAAAATTCAGTATCAGGTAACACAGCTATCATGATGACATACCCAAATTAACCTTTGTCAATTTAATCTTTATTTAATGGATTTACTATTGTTTGAATTTTAATATGCCACCTTGAGCGCAATGTCAACCATAGCACAGGCCTTTTTTTGGATACTAGCACTATCACCTTTGCATTTTTCCTTCCTGAAATTTCGTTTTTTCCCTTTTAATGACTAAAAAACAAACAAACAAACAAAAATTAAACCCTCAATTTCCCTGTTCACAATGCACTTTGGGTGTACATATTTGGAGAAGAGAGAAAAGGCTGGGGAAGACGAGCTCAGTGCTTGAGAGAAGCCTGTACCGCTAACAGCGTAACACAGCACAGTTAAACCTCTTCACCAGCACTGACAGCAGGCCCTCGGTTTGGCACCTAAAGGCACAAAAACGAACTCTCAGCTCTCAATGCCATCTCCAACACGGCGGCCTCCACCCACAAGCCAGAAAGCCAAGGTAAAACCTGTGTACCTGAGGAAACCAGTCAGCTTGTAGCAGAGCTCTCTGCTCCAGCGACATTAACCACTGCAACCCACTCTAGGCTGGACCCTTTTCCAAGCGTGGGTGCTATGTAAATAACTGGAGAAAGTGTGAAAAAATCTCAGCACGGCCAGCAGTTTTGAGCAGACACCTCTCCCCGCTGACTAGAGACCGGAGCAGGGCTGGAGCAAGAGTGGCGCTGGCACGAGCCCAGCGCGAGTTCCCGCTCCGGCGCCTTGGGGRACTGTTGAGCAAGGCTGCGCCTTTCCTTCCGCAAGCACCAACGCGGTGACCGTGCCACTTCGAGCACGGCGCTGTAAGTTGCTGTTTGCTGACACTGTAAAATGCTCATTCCGGAGTGACGATCACCGTATTTCACTACAGAGCTGTTTTGTAAGTCGCAAAGCTGCAGCGCAATCTCAGACAGGAATGAGAGAGGGACACCCAAACTGACACCTTTGCAAACCTCAAGCTTAATAAGGAGAAAGCAGGGTTTTGTTCCAACTCTGAGACACACAATTTCCTTGAAAACTGAGGGAACAGAAAGATGTTACACAGAGGCTGGCAAAGCACTGAGCTGCAGCCCCACTCCTGCCCGGACTTTTGATCAGTGCCAGGGTAAGATACGACAGGAGACACACAACAGCGCTAGGACAGAGGTGCCCTGATGTCACCAGCACCAGAACTGCCACCAGAATCGCCACCAGAACCAGCGCTCGCACCACCAGGACCACTAATACCAGCACSACTAGGGCCGGCCCTAGCGCCAGCCCTAGGGACACCGGGAGCGCCAGCAGCCCCGTCTTTACCTGCCCCGCCGGCTCCCGCGCCCTCGGCTGCCGCGGCGCCAGGGCCCAGCGCGCTGCCCGGGCCGGCTCGCTGCGGCCGGGCCGGGCCGGGCCGGGCCGGGTCCCGGGGCGGAGCCGCGCGGCGGCCCCGCCGCTTCCGCCCGCGCGGCGGGGCCGGAGCCGGGCACGTTCCCGAGCCTGCTGTCCGGGTGCGCTGCGCGGTTTTCCCGGGAGTGCCCGTGCCCGTCACGGCTTGGTCACTCCTGCTCCCTGTCTTTAACGTTCAGGCGGCGGCCCCTGAGCGTGCTCTGGCGTCAGGCGGCGGCGGCAAGAGGAACAGGGAATTGAGACACAGGCGCTCGGGCCGCGGCGGGAGGGAAGTTTGCGCTGGTCACATCCGTGTTTGGAAACAAGAGGAAGTTCCAAAGGAAGAAAGAAGGCAGCGGAATGAATCACAAATACCCCACGCAAGGCCTTTCAGATACTTTCTCAGTACTGTGGTAAAACAGAAAACAGATTCCCACACCAGCTTCTCTGTTGGTGCATGACTCAGAAATACATAGTGTGATTATTAATTACTATTGTATAGTTTTGAACTATGAGAGATGCATCAAAACCATCCTCCATTAGTGCCCTTGTGAAATATGTGGGTAGATCTGCTTCTACGAGCAAAACAACATTTGTTTTCAACAAATTAGTTACAGTTCTTGAACGAAAGACTTTTTCCAAACTTACGCTATTATTCATAGTTGAGATTTTATGGTGATGTTTACACATTTACACAGCAAGGAGGAGGATGAAGCAAAACTAACTCTCCTTGCTTTCCCATGGAAACAGGCAAAGGCCGTGCCGAGTGTGGTGAGCGATCCATATGGTTTAGCGTTGGCTCTGCCTGCGAAGTACCAGAAGGTTCAGAAACYGGTTAAAGAGGTAAAGATAAGTTGTCCAAAGCCATGGAGGCCTCTCTGTTCCTCCCTGCCCCTGTTATGGAGGGCACGGCTGCTCCGTCCGCACTGCTCTTTGCTGCTCCATCCCGCTGCTCTTGGCTGCTGCCCTGTGGGCGCGGAGTTGTTGTTCGTGCCTCCCCAGCTCTCTCTGCAGACCAAGGGTGGGAAGAGCGGGCTGTGCCGCAGGTCTAACGCAGCTTGCGAGATGTTGTGCTTCATGGTTAGACCTGCTCTGAAGATCAAAAGCCATTTACCCTCCAAGGCTGTTGAATTAAGGCCTCTGCTCACTTTGAGAAAAAATAAGCCCAAAGTTAAGTTTCCCCTTAAGCAGGTTTTAACGTGAGAGCCAGAGCTGCCATGAAATCATGCTGCCTATCAAGGTATTGAGAGAATAAAGTCAGACCTTTTATGTCATAGCATCATTACAAAATAGCGCCTGCTAACAGAAACTATTAACGAATTAATCGTTGATGAAAATGAAGATGGAGAGCTACTTTGAATAACTACCTCCTTAAGACTTTTGATTTAAAGTTTATATTGGTAGCACAAAGTGGTTAATAAATCAAAAATCTCAAATCAAACATGGTATCAGATCTGAATACTGATATCTATAATGAGGAAGAAAGGCAAGTTACACTTTCAGTATTTATGGKTTTTTTTGTGTTAAGACATAAGAAGTTAATCATTAATCAGTAATGTGAACAACTGTTGTAGCAACCTATTTAAAAGACAAAAAATCATAAAACAGTCTTCTGAAACAATCTTATGAGTAAAGAATGTATGTTTTCCGTCAGTAGCTGGCAGTTACTCAGGCTTTCTTAATGTATCTCAGAACACCATGGAGTGTTAACAAGCATATCCAAACYTCCAGGTTTGTAAGATGTAAACTGGTGCCAAGGCTTGGGTGAAATTTAATATTTCTGAAATCTATTGTTGCTTCTAGGTTCTCGCACTTGAATATAATGAGAGAGAGATTTGGGAGATTTGGGATATTCATAATGAGAAAGGTGGAAAGAATTTACAGCATAAGGAAGGAATAATAAACATAAATGGAACCTRGCTGTTCCTAAAGTCTATCAATATCCATCCTTTGATTTAAGATCTGCCTTAGCTGCTCACCTAATGAATAGACTGGCAATCTAGTTTGCAGCTCAGTATCTGACAAATGTCCATATTATGGGGCTGTTGCTCCACAGAATTATACACACTTAAATCCTAGGACACAAGTGCACACTAAGAAACTTGGAATATCTTCAGCTGCTTTTTGGAATCTGGATAAAAAATAGTAGTACCAAAGTGCTCTCCTAAACTAGAGGCTTAATCACCAATTGAAGTGAACTGGATTTTCAGTACTTTATATAATTAAAGATTGACTTCAAAATTTGCTAAGTATTGTAATGAAAAATAACTGATTTCATTTGACAAATTTCTCATTATAAATAGTATGGTCTTTTATTTCTGTACTTTCTTCTCCTGTTCACTGCTTATTAACAGTCATGATGATAGGATTATACTTGCTGAAAATTTGAGGGACAGAATGCCAAAACAGTTAAAAAGTTTCATTTCAATTTTTAATGAAAATGTAATTTTCCTAAAGAAATCTGAACATTAAGATTAACTGTATGTTAGATTTAAAAAATCTAGATCAAAAAAATCTTCAATTTAAAATACCTATTTATATGCTGAAATTTGTTGCATGAAGGTAAAAAAYACTGGCATGGTTCCATTTCTTTAAGGATTTTATTTCAAATACTTCAATCCGAGAATTTAAAAGTGTGGTTTTTCTAGACCCCAGCAGTGTACATTCATATTGAGATTTTGGAATTAAGAAAGAGCCTTTCTTATTTTGTCCCTGTAACATAATGATGTTTTGATTATTGCCATTGCACGAATAGAACTCAGAAATCTAGCTAGATTTTATTCATTTTTGTGTGTGGCAATAGAACAAATCTACCAAATTCTGATCAGACACATGGATTTGGGAATGTACATATATTTCTGTGTCCTGATTTGAAATCAATGAAATTGATCAATGTATAGTTTTTGAAGACCTAAACAGAATTAAATTGTGTAAAGAGCTCAGAGCAATGCTGCCACCGCATTTTTTTTGAATGATGCGGTGTTTTAATTTTACAACATTCTTTGCAAAGCTATATTTGTTTTCCCATTAAAAAGAAAATCTTTTTACTGTGGTAATGTGTTCCTCACATTTAAAATTTCCATAGAAATAGTAAATTATCTGACCTATCTCTTGTGATACCATTTGTTGATTTCAGTAAAGGTAGACTTGGGAATTAGAATATTTTTAGATGATAACATTTTCTTTAAAATGGGACATGAGACAGTTTGAGATTATTCATTGCCTGCCAGGTAGGAAGTTGGACTATTAAAATGCTTTGCTCCCCTCTATGCAATAACTATTTAGCTATATAATTTTCTGGTACTCTGCAGTGCTCAAGAGGGGTACGCACAGATTGAATTTGATATATTCTAGATATATTTGAGAGCAAGAAGACAGTGTTTTAAAACTGGCTGTTTAAACTAGATTTTTAAAGGATTAGAAGGAATATATCATTCCTCAAGTTAATGAAAATACCAGTTTAATTTTATATTATCTCACAAAAATCCCCAGTGCTTACAGATGTATAGCTGTGTAGAGCGGTATGAGGATTGCTTTTATGTTGCCCTAGCGAGCAATTATTTTGCTTATTTTGATACCAATAGCATAGTTACCAGGTAGTTATTTACTTCCCTATTGATTCCCACTATTCATTTCCTTCCTTCCCTCCTAYACACAGTTTCATATACTTTTACATCATTATCCTGGTAATGGTTTACACCAGAACAGTCACTCACAGAAGCACAAGAGCGGTAGAATTTGAGGTGATGCCTTAAAGATATATGTAGCAGTGGGAGAGGGAGAATAATCTCTGTGGGGTTCTATTAACAACTTTCCAAAACTGCTGGAGATCTGCAAGTAAATTAACTGACCTTTGGGTCTGGGTCCCTGCTGTGCCGATCAGCTTGGAAGGAAAAGTAGTGTCTATCAACTGTAGAATTGGCACGGAAAACATTCCCTGGGGATCAGTGACAAAAATAGATCATTTGTGATTACTGCAACAGGATATCAATCTAGTCCTATAGAAGTGCTTTTGTATGATGTCTTGTTTCAAGGCTTTTAAGACTGATAAAAAAGTCAAGTTTCATTTGTTAAATTCGTTATTTTCCGACCCCTATTCCTCCCTTCCTTTTGCTAGCCTAAARCTCATTTACCAACTTACACTCCTAATTGTAGTACCAATCTCTTTGATTATTTGATATTCCTTCTGTCAAACTTGGTGTCCTCAAGTTTCAGTGAGTCAAAACCACTGTCATTTAATCTGTTGGCACACATACAATTAAAAGCTTAAACTCTGAGAYAGTGTAGCTCTTTTGATCATAGTAACATTAATAAGGCTGTTGTGGTTATTAGAAATAACAATTTAACTTTCACCCATAAAGGCTTTTTTGAATTGTACTTGATCACTGGAACTGAGATTGAGTTGTCCACTATTCTGTTTCAAGCTTAACATTACAGTTTATAGCTTATTTTTCCTTTTAAATCAATAATGAAATATTATTAGTGGGTTAGAAACCGTTCAAAAAGGAAGCTCAAGTTGTCTTATCTTTTGAGTCTATATTTCTAAAATATGTGTAACCTTATCAGATGGTATCTGTGACACTTCACAGATAATTATGTTTTCCCCAATATATAAGTAGTGTAACTAATTTAACATAGCAGGMTAAAATGGATTACTCTGAGATGTTTAAGTACAATTTATAAAAGTGTTACCAGATAGATCAGAATGTRTTATGCACTTCATTTTTTCCATATTTTTATCAATGTGTTTATTTTGATTAAGTAGTGTTAGGAATGAAAGCTGTGTGAAAAGAGTATGCTGCAGTTTGAAGATGTTATGAAATCTGTACTGCTTTATGTTAATCCAAATCCTGCATTTCAGGGAAACAGCCAGTCGCGTCCACAGCAAGAGAAATGTAACTAGAAAAGTCCAGATCAGTGGGCATCAACACCAGCATGATAACATTATTTAAATTTATTTCCTGCTATCACAGCATATCATACAGTCAAATTAGCATTTCAGCTTTGCTCTTACATATTTCACAAACAAAAAATCCTAAATTCTAAATGTTTCTGTCCATTTTTGCCAATAAAAGATGAATAAAGATCCTGAGTATAGCAGGCATTATGTTTCCGCAGTAATGTTTTGCTTCTAGTGGGGTTCTGAAAAGCTTGATCTAAACTTCATTTATTATTACCATTTTGCTTTAAAAGTGCCAGGTTTTCTTTAAGAAAGTTGTGCACTGCAGTGAGAGATTGCCAGTGTTCCCAAGGTTTGAGGTTTTCCAGTGTAGTGCTGCGTTCTCCACGCAGCTGTGGAAATGCGCTCGGGGATGCTGCGTGCCTGCAGAAGTTGTGCTAGAAACAGGGCAGCCCTAGTGACACCTGCCTTACCTGCATAGACCGGCATTTTAAGACATCACTGATGAATTAGTGCCACCTGCCGTGTGCTTTTGAAACCGCCAACGATACCCTTAGCATACTTCATCTGCGAGGAACACTTGCACGCTTTAAACTTTCATAACTTCTGAAATGCTTCATTGTATAATTGAGTTCTCTTCAAGAAAAATCACAGAAGGCTCAGATGGTGTTCAATCTGAAAAAAAAAAGTAAAAAAAAAAAAAAAAAAAAAAAGGCTTTTTCCTCAAATCAACGTACAGTCCTGCAAATAAAGCACTGAATCCCAGAAAGGTTTGTTATCATTTTTAAGATATGACAGCGTAGGCGGCTCGTTACCAAAGCACTGCCTGGCGCTCTTAACATAACATACCGGTTGTAAAATGAATATTGTTGTCATGTTTTAAACCCTTTTCAGTCCTCACTTTGCTCGTGCTGAACGGAGATTGTGCTTTCCGGAATCTCCCTCAGCCCACTACCACTCTAAGGAAAATTGTCCCTCCCTCCTTCCCCGCAGAGGTCGGGAACTGCTTTTTCCTCTCTACCGAAGCGGGAAGGGAGAGGAGGAGRGTGCAGCGCTTCTCCAGGCGCCTTCAGCGCCTCCCTGCTCACACACGCACACGTTGAGSAGGCGGCGGGAAGAGCGGCTCCCGGCTCCGCCGTGGCGACATTAACGGTCCCGCTCGGCCGTTAGCGCCGCCGCGCGCTTCAAACCTCCCGCCCGCCGGCCGTGGCGCCGGCCGCCGCGCTGCCTGTTCGCCGCCGCACTTTCGAGGCGCCGCAGCTGGAGGGCCGCTGCGTGCACGCGGCTTCTCGGCGTTCTCCTCAGCGCCACTACCGGCGGCGAGCACCGGGCGGCCGCGACGCGTTTCGTCGGTCCCGGGGCTGCGCCGGCGCCTCGCTGTGCCGCGGGGACGAATGTGCCGCGCTGGGGCTGCCGYTAGCGCAGTTTGGGCGGTTGTCAGGGAGAAGCAAGATGGCGGGCGCGGCGGCGGAGGAGGACACGGAGCTGCGGGACCTGCTGGTGCAGACGCTGGAGAGCACCGGGGTGCTCAATAAGATCAAGGTGCGCGGCAGCGAACGGGGCCTCTCCTTGGCGCGGGCACCTTGCGGAGCGGGGAAGAGCCCTGGCCGGCGCCAGCGGCCGTTAACGGCCGCGCGCTGCGGGGAGGAGCCGGCGCTTCGTGCCCGCTGCTGCCGGCAGGGCCTGTGCCGGCACCGCGGCCTGGCGCGAGCCGGGACCGCCGCCCGCCCAGCCCGGCGGAGCTGGAGCTGGAGCTGGGGCGGCAGCGCCGGCGAAAGCGCCGCGGCGGGAGCGGGAGCGCGAGGGGAGCGCGAGGGGAGCGCGCGGCCGCCGCACGGAGCCTTGTGTCCCGGCTCCTCGGCTGCTGCTGGAGCCGCCGCAGGCGCCCAGCCGCCCGGTCCCGTTGCGTGGAGTCGACCGGGTTTCCCGGAGCGCGAGGGGAGCGCGCGGCCGCTGCACGGAGCCTTGTGTCCCGGCTCCTCGGCTGCTGCTGGAGCCGCCGCAGGCGCCCAGCCGCCCGGTCCCGTTGCGTGGAGTCGACCGGGTTTCCCACCCGTCCCTGTGAAAAGTCGTCACTGAAAAATGAAACTGAGAATCCGTGACGGTGTATGGGTGAGCTCAAGCTGTCTTGGAAGGTCTGCTTATCCAGGGAAATGCTTAGGGATGCTGCCTAGCTGCAGGGCACAAATACTGCTGTGTTAAGAAGTTGTATGAAGGGTGGATTTGTAAGACTTTCTCTGTCATAATTGCTTCTATGCCTATAGGGTAGCCTGTTGCAAGGGTATGAAAGCTGCTTCTAAGGATTCTTGTTTTGGCATTAGCTGTTGTGTCTAGCAAAGAGATCTAAAAGCAACGAGCAGCTGGACCCTGTTCTGAGCTGGGAGGGAAATGAAGATTGAATTTCAAATTACAGATATTTTTTCCCCCTAAAATGCTGCTTCAAATATTTCAAGGGGTGGATTATCATTGGCATTTCAAGAACAGTTTTATGACTAAAACAGCTGGTGGGAATTAGAGTATCTCAGTGTGAGTATATATACAAAAAAAATACAAAGTCACTCCCTTTAAAGTCATGGGATATTTTGTTAGATTCTAGGTTAGATTTTAGCAAGTCAGTGAACACAAATGGCTGCGTTGCTGGTAAGAGCTCTTGCCTACTCAAGCTTCCAAGGGATGGAAGGGAATAAGTACTTTCCAAAGGACAGGAAAGGCTGCTCCTCTGCTGGATGCAAGAATGATAGTACTGTGCTATACGCACTGTCAGTGCATTTGTCCATATCTGGCTCTGTCTGCAAAACAGTGTTAGTGCTGATGTTTTAGGGTATGGGTGAGGAATTGAAGACCAAGGTTTGGCCTGGTTTACTGACTGTGAATAAAAGCCTTTAAAAGGTGTTTGAGCTGTGTTGGAAAGTGTTAGTCAGAATGGGGCAGTGTGGAGCATGGTGATGAGCAAGAGCAGATTCCAGTCCTGTGGAGCACAGATGGAGCTGGGGCCCGATGGAAACATGACTAAGGCAAATGCAAACCCTCAAAATGCATTAGAACCAATAACACAGGAGAGGTAGAAACGCCAGGTAAATCAGGTAAATGATTTAATTGCAATCATTTAAGCACTTGTATCTAGTGCTTCTGAGGGTAGGTTGCTTTGACCATACCCGATAATGTTGGTTTCAGTCTCTATTGATGTTCAAGTTGTGTGACTTGTGCCATTTTAACATTGCACTTTTGGCCCCAGAGGTGTTTTTTTTTTTTTTTTTTTTTTTTTTTTAAACTTTCTTTATCAAGAACTTGAGAATTACTGCTTTAGTTTTACAGATTCAAGTGTATGACTCTGTGTCAAAAACTACTGTCAGATCATATTTTGGGTATGTCTTGTGCTATGACCTCCAAATATGTTGGAATAGCTTTTTCTTATGGTCACAGTACAGGAATGCTTAATTTTCAATTCATCATGATGCACACAGGGTTGAAGGACCAAGTGGAGAGCTGATACCCAGGGACAGGCTGCAGGRTGGTGTTCTAGATACTGCAGTAGGTATCAGTAGTGTTGTCTTTTGCTAATAAAGTCCTGACAAGAATAGACATCCAAAGAGAACCCACTAATCATGGGGAATGGCAACATCTGGGAAAAATTGTCATCCAGCCATCAGACAGATAAAAAAGGGAAAGACTGTATTTCAGTCTGCATTTAAATGCCACTGGGTTGGGATCTGGAGAGGTGGAGGAGACAAATGAGGCAAAATGTCTCAGTGAATGTCAACTATGATATTGCTCCAACATCTCAGACAGGTCAGACTTTGCATTCCAGGATGGCAGCTACTGCTTGGTTTAATCTTCTTCCTCTCTTGCGTAAGTGTATTGAACTTTGGTGGCATCGATGGAAAAGCTAGTTTTGTAATCATTTAAAGTTTTTCTTACTGAAAGAAAATCCATTAAATCAAAGTTGTTAGATGGTGGTATCGAAGTTAATGATAAATTAATTTTGTGAGAGTAATATTAATAATATTTGTATTAACAGCATATAACAGTTTGCTGATTGAATGCTRTACCCCCAGCAAAATTGAACTGCTGTGTAATAGTGTACAATTGTAATAAATTTTTACTTGCTCTGAGAAATCTTTTATTATGTGTTTTTTTAAAAAAAGCTATTCTAAGACAAGTCTTCTGTTAAAAAAGAAGAAAAAAATAGGGTTTTTGTTTGTTTCTTCTCTGAATAGTGTGGGGTTTTTTTTGTTTTGTTTTATTTTTTGATTATTTTGTGGAACAGTTATAGGGCAATACAAGCTTAGTTATTTTTCCTAATATACATGAGGAAATTTGAGTACTCTTCAAACAGTCTTTAAAGCTTATTAATGCGTATTATACTTTCTATAAAAACATTCTAGTTCCTTGTTTAGTCTTGGGAAAACTAGTATACACACTAGTGCTGACTTTTATAGTTCACTGCTACAGTGTATCCATCCCCTGGCCAGAATTTGTCTATCTAGGTGTTGTTTCAAGTGGCCGGTTTCTTCGTCAAATATAATGTATGTTGTCCATTTGGAATGCTCAGTGAAAGAAGGAGMGACACTGAAGCTTAGAAGAAGGATGACGAGTCTTAACTTGAAATATTCAAAACGCCTTAGAAGAAATAGAATTCTTGAAATTAAGATATACAAAGCTGTTAGGTAAAACATCATTACAGAWTATTCAAGTGCTTTGAACTCTGCTGTCTTTTCCATGTGAAATTGTGTTTCTTCAAGTATGATCGTGCCTACTTGAGCAGGAAGGTTGGACTAGATGATCTCTAGAGGTCCCTTCCAACCTTAACGATTCTGTGATTCTGTGATCTGACAAGAAATTATAGTAATTTGTATATTTTAATATATTTTTGAAGTATTATCATATGCTATTTGTATATAATTCCTCAAAGAATTGTAAATGRAGGGTAGGAGTTTGAAGGGTAGCAGTTTCAAAATGGCCTTCAAGAACTGTATTTCCAGCTCTAGGAAACAAAAAAGAGACAACATAGGTAGCTTGGTATCTTTCTGTGAGTGCAGTAATAATGCAGTAAGCTTTATATACCTCAGGCTTGTTTTTTTCCTCCTATTTATTGCTTTTCAGGCTGAAAGTTCTTCTTTTTTCAGCCCCCAGTCATGTTGCCTGTTTTAAATGTCCCCAGTCATGTTGTAGTTTTAAATGTCCTATTTGCTCTCCAGTCAGTGCCGTGTTGCTTGAAGAGAAACAAGAGAAAGAAATGGCAATTAAGCTGTTTGCTGGCAGTTTGCATTCTGCTGGAATTTGTGCTTATGGAAACCTTTATTTGGCAGGCAGAGCTGCGAGCAGCTGTTTTTTTGGCGCTAGAAGAGCAGGAGAAAGTAGAGGTAAGAAAGTGTTTTTCMGTTTCAGCTTCTTGTCAGTGCTTTGTGTAAAAAATAATAGTCATGATGTATTATTGCTGTGTAAGACATAGCGCTTTTTGTAGTGAGGTTTTCTCATATTTAGAATGATAGAAAATAGGAATTGTTACCAGCCTTTTAAAGCCGTGGATCTAGGTAACTGTTTCTGAGATTTTTATATATGGCTTCTATCCAATTGATCAGAATAATCAAATATATTTATTTTCTCCAAAAATTTTTTTAAAAATATTTCCAGTTGATAGATCAAAATCTTACCAAAACAGATTAAAGAATTTTGAAATAAAAAATATTACAGTGGCTTGTTTCAAGAAGTATATCCAGGGCAGGGGAGGGGCTTGTCAAGTATGCTCATGCCTTTAGCATATTTTTTTATAAGTATCTGTTAAGTTGTAGTGATGACCTACATATGGATGTTGTGACAATATGCCAACTTTGAATGTATATGATACCATGATTAAATAACAGTACTGCTGTGCGATCTTGGTGCTAATTTTGTTTCCCTCGCCCCTGCTTCTCCCAGCTTCTTGGTGGCACTTAGCTAGCTGTGCCTCTACAGGGAAAAGTGAGAGAATGGAAAACTGACAAATCTAATAAGGGAGGAAAAACAGTTTCATAATATTGTGGAAGTTCTTTTAATCAATAGAAGATTAGTACTAATATGAGAGCTGCTAATTTGTATAGTCCACCCTGTCTGCTAATTTGCATAGTCCACACTTTGTCCACACTTATTTAAAGAAAAGAGGATCAAGTTTTCTAAAATAAACCTGACTAGAGTAGTTTGGCAAATTAACTGCATAGTTTATTTTTTTTAATYCAGGATGCTGTCAAGAATTTGAGTACAAATCTTCTAGCTCTGCAGCTTTGACAATAGAAATACTGAGACAGTCTCAGTTTGCCCCTATAAATATGTCACTCTGCAGCTTTTAATTATAGGTAGTAGAGTTAACACAAAGGTAAATCTTAGCTGAAGTGAATTACATGTCAGGGATCAAATAGAATCCTTTGCAGTGTTTTTTTTTTTCTTTTTTAAATTATTATTATTTCTTTATGCTATAAGGGTTATCTACCTTTTCTTTCTTTTTTTTTTTTTTTTAAACAGAACAAAACACCTCTTGTGAATGAAAGCTTGAAAAACTTCTTGAGTACAAAGGATGGTAAGCACTTTCTTGTTTATTCCATCCCTCAAGAATAAAGAAAAAAGAGATGAGAGAATTAAACCTTTGAATATTGTATTAGCATTACAGTTCTCATGACCTAAACTGTGCTCCTGTTCCTGTCAAATAAATGTTACATCTTTCAGAATAGGTGTTGTAGATTTTTGTAGTTGATACGGATGAAATTGCTATGTTTGTAACTAAGAGGACTAGCTAAACTAATCATCTAAATCGAATGCTATAACTAAAGCATTTGATGATGAATTATGATTGTGCTCAGTAAACCCATTCTAGACCAACAGAAACAATAAGCTATGAAAAGAGATTGTAAACTGAAAGCAAGCATAGGATAGATGTTGAAATATTTTAAAATAGATCAGTAATTATTGAAAAAAAAGCCTTTTTAAAAAAAAATTATTTATTTTTTTAGCAACCTCAATTGTTGCTCCTGAAATATTCCCGGATTAAATAATTTACATTTGATGGCTTTAATTTATGTTTGGCAGTTTGCTGATCTGAGTTAGGAAAGGTACACAAATCATTAACTGGACTAGTGTGAACTTGCAGCTGGGAAGCATTTTGGTTCAGTGTAGATGTGCACCCTGAAGYACACACTCCTACAAACATCACTTAGATGTTTAGCAAGCTGCAACCACATAAACGTTAGATCTTTGAGGTAAGACTAGATTCTGCCCAGTATGTATTTACTTTTCCCATTTCCTTTCTAGGTCGCTTGGTAGCTGGCCTTGTTGCAGAATTTCTACGTTATTTCAATCTCGATTTTACATTGGCTGTTTTTCAGCCGGAATCAAGCACAGTAAGAAAGTTGCTGTTTTCACTGTACACTAGACTGATTGTTTGCAGTGGATGACAATGATTACAGAACTATTTTTGTTTTGCTTTTAAGCTACTTGCGTTTATTCTACATGATCTTTGGTATTCGGTTTGTAAATGGTACACATTGCAATAGAGAGACATTCTCCCGGAAAATGTGCCAGTATGAATGATTATTGCCTTTTCAAAAATGACTGCTTGAAAAAATGTCAAATTTGAATGAAATTTACGTTTTGTGAAATCATAAATGGTCTCTATAAGACAAAAAAATGGAAACACCTGCAGCTTGCTGCTTTTTTTTAACTAATAATTTTACTGTGTGATGTTATTAGGTTATTGTTGAACAAAGACTGAAATAATGTCAATGAGTATTCTTGCAAAAAAATCACTTGCAAAAAAATACAAGTACATATGACAAATGCAATTTCTTTTAGGCTTATGGTATTGATATTATTATATTAGTGTTTTTTTCATAAAAGGATGTGTGCGCTTTTCTCTTTTTACCTTGTGAAAATTTTCCTGTTAACCTTTTGATTAGAAAGAATCTGTTTCATTTAACTGAAAGTCTCTTTGCCAGTTGAATGTTCTTTTTTTTATTCTTAGTCAGTTTAAATAATTTAACTTGTTAAAAATCCAACTCTGTTAAATCAATTGACTGCTTATTTGAACATTTTTATGTATTTTCATTTGGTTTGGATATTGATCTTCAATTTTAAAAAATGACCAGGGAAATCCATTGAGCATGGATTAAAACAATTAAGAAATACGGTCTATGAATGGACTTTACTGTTTTTCAGAAGCTCGTGTTTCTTTTGCGGGACTTAAATTTATATAATCCCATATATTTTTTATCCTTTGATAAAGATTAAAAGATTCACTTTTAAATGTTGTAGGCTGAGATAATTGGATAATGTAAATCTTTAAATACTAAAACATGGTCATGATGAGTACTTGTATATTTAAAAGAACCTTGGATAATTATGATAAATTCATGTATGTAGGACTAAATGATGCGAGAAGCCGTTAATACTTTATTCCACACACGACAGTAAATCTTAATTATTTTTAGATTGTTATAGTATTAAATAAAATCAAAAAACTTTAGATATTTTATTACAAAATATATTGTGTTTTCTGATAGTTATTTCTATGGGTTTGTTTGTTTGTTTTTTCCTAGCTCAATGGCCTTGATGGTCGAGAAAACTTAGCTCGAGATTTGGGAATTCTAGAAGCAGAAGGTACTGTGGGTGGTCCCCTATTGTTGGAGGTTGTTAGAAAATGTCAGCAGAAAAAGATTTCAGGCACTGGAGAAGTGAGTACTGTTAAGATGTGGAATTCCTTTCTTTATTCATATTTTTAATTTTTCTTCATAAATATAATTTTGTTCTTTGTCATCTCTTGCATTTCATTTTTTTGAATAATAAGATGCTCTAATATTTACAGAATATAAGATAGCTTTTGATGTAAAATATGGAGACTATGAACATTTGAGCTATTGTATTAAATTGTTTCAAATCTTTGCAATAAAAGTAGATTAGTATAATAGGAAAGCCTTTAGCATGCTAGGTCACAAAGCTGGAAGGCAGTGACCACAGCTGCAGTTAGTGACCACGGCTGCTTTTATTCATCAAATAACGTTTGATTAACCTCTGTCGTGACTGTGATTTTAAAGCAAATCCAGCCCTTGTAAGTTGTATATGATACTTCAGCCAAAGTTTAATTTCAAAAGTAGTTATCAAAGACTTCCTAAATGTAGCAGCACAGTGTCACAGTTTGCATGTTGCCTGTGCAGGAATGATCATTTTGTTTTTTATCGAATGGTGTTATGCTCCAATTCTGTGTACTTTTATTCAGTGCTTTTGTGAAACCTTTTAGGTGGCTGCAGTTCTAAGTGATGGTGTGTGCCCTTCATCAAGATCATCTGATGGAAGATCAGGTTCACAGCCTGTACCGAGTAAGGTAAGGCTGCTTTCCAGCATGAGAAAGCTAGGTAGTGTCATTGGAAAGATCCAGCTCTGAGGGAACTGCAGATGTGAAGCCATTTGCTTAGCAACAATTGCTTTCAGTCCTTATTCTCAACTGGTTTGAGGTGCATACTTTTTAGCCAAATATTTGGAAACTTGTTACCAGGAACAGGCTAAGTCTAAATAGTAGTTTGTTTTTTTCATATAAATTAGTGTTTTAAATGTGTATGCTTAAGCTCTAACGTTGTTTTGCTGTAGCTATGATGTATATTTTTAGGGATTTTTTTAATTATGGAAGTAGAAGCCATAATGTGTGTGCAGTGTTTTTTACACATGAAACTGTAGGCTCTCTTTTATAAATAGTTTGAATTTTATAAACATCTTTTATTGTTCTAATATGAACTTATGAAAGTTGACTTGAGTAGTTCAGCGTATTTATGAAAAGTTGGATGCAGATGGTGATTCATAGGCAGAACATTGGTATTTTTGTGTGCTCCTGGTAAGATGCTGTTAGTAATTACTGAGACTGGTATAAATTTATATATATTTGGCTGAAGTGATGAGAAACGTTCTTTGCATTTAATGCTGGAAAAACTTGTAGCTATTATAAAAGTCTGTGTTCATCCCAAGTTAGACTGCTTGCTTCTCCTTTATTAAGATGGTTTTCCTTCATGATTTAGATGTGCTAAAACTTGATTTAACTTTGTTTTTATTCCAACTTCCAGGAATACAATATTGAAAAATTTAAGTAATGTTTTAACTTCCTGGATTATGTTCTGTGTTTTATATACAACTCTTTTGAGAATCATACTGTATAACAGTTGATTCCTCCCATAACTACTACAAGCTAATAGGAACTTAGAGTTATTTTCTGTATGGTAAAATAAAGCTAAGCTTAAACAGACAATAATACAGTGAATTCTGGTTCACAGCAGATTAAAGAAATGAGCAGCTTTCACAGGAAAGGATTGACAGGAAGGATTGAGATGCTCYGATAGCAGAAGTTGTTCAGTTGGAACATCTTGTTTAAGTCCACTGCAGCTTTAGCAAAACTTTATAATCAAACTCCATGTTGAAAAATACAGTGAATTTAAAATTGCTTTATTTGAAAAAGTTGATTGATAGGAGGCACTCTTTTTGCATGTCTGTAGTTGCAGTTTAACTACTTTTCTACATCAAAGCAGGTGAAATGCATGTTGCTGGGTTTTGGTTTTCTGCATTTTCTTTTCCCTTTCTTGTCTATCAGGTATAACAGAAGACAGACTTTCACCCTAATAAATGGGCTGCTATGAAAAATTCATCCTAGTAATGTAGTGGATACACCAATCCGACTATACTGGATGCAGTATCCAGTATAAGTCGACTGTAAAAGATTGTCCTAATTAAATAACTTTCTCAGTTATTTGCATTTTACTGGAGTAGGGTGAGTTTTGTCATTGCAGCCAAATAGCAAAAAAAAAAAAAAAAAGTCTGAGCAAAAATGAGAAAAATGCTAGCATATTGAGTAAAAATGCCTACCCAGGGTTCATATCAAGAAACTAATTAGCTATTTCTACCAGTTTGAAGATTTTTTTTTAAATGCATTTCTGGCTATCCAAATTAAAAAAAAAAAAAAAAAAAAAAAAAAAAAAAGAGAGAGAGAGATTAGAAATTCTGTGCTTGTTTAAAACATGATTTTTTTTTCATGATAAAATAAAATGATAGAATAGGATTTGGCATGCTTATCACTACCATGCTTATTAAGTACTTGCCAACTTTTTTTGTGTACTTGTATATTTATGTAACTGTCTAGGTGTCCTGTGTTCAGAACTCAACAGGAGAGGAGGCCAGAAGGGGGTGTTGTACAACCGTAAAATTATGCTAATGTTCAGGAAATACATGTTGATTTAAAGAAAAATAAAATGTGTAATTTCAATCATTTCCTGCCTACACGAAGTCTGTAGGAGGTAATATCCTCCAGACCTCCAATACCCCATTATTTAGCCTGGAACTGATGAACAGGTTTAGGAGTTATTAGGAAATGTGGGGCACAGAAAAGGACATAATGGACTCTTTTCCATAAGATGCTGACTACTCACCACCTCCAGCAAAAAGTGATCGGAGTGCTAAAGTTTGTTCAAATTATTAATCTAATTTGACAACATCAAATGTTTTAATATCTCTTTTTTATGTTATTGGAAATAACTTGAAAGCTTCCTAAATCACTAATAAAAGCTGAGAAAAATAGTATTGGATTGGGCTGGTTGTTAGCTGGCTCTTTTTTTTTTTTTTTTTTTTTTTTAAGCTGGCTCCTTTGGGAGAGGGAGTCATAAGGATTAAAAAAAAAAAAGACAGCTTGATTTTCAGCCCACAATTTGGACTGGATGATCTCTAGAGGTCCCTTTCAACCTCAACCAGTCTGTGATCTGAGAATGACGCAACTAGAAAAGGAAATTTGATTTCAAGTTAAGTTACTTCAGTAATTACGGAGCATGGTAATGTACTGTAGGCAGCTGGTATTTCTGTAACAACTGACCTTCAAGTGAATATTCTAACCCCTTAAACTCTGCTTTGGGGAAAAACACTTGGTTGGCAACACACTTTTAAAACATCTCAATGCTAATATTAATTAAAGGTCAATGTTAGTAATACTTTTGCCTGAATGGATGTAGCTGGGCTCATACTTCTCTCTTAATAGGGTGCTGGATTAGCTAAGTACAATTTAGAGACCATAGGCTTTCCAAGCTCCCTTGCATATTCTGCCTTTCATGGTCAGGTTTGAATAACTTAATTTGGAGTAGGTATATTAGGGAGAGAAGAATTAGGTGTTTGCTACATGGCTTCTCCTAACAAATAAGAATTTGGTTAGGGGAGGGGAAAAAAAGTAGTTTCAAAGGTTCATGAATTCAGTGTAGTTTGACTTTTGTGTGTATGTGTGTGTCTCAAGCTGGGCAAACCTCTGATGTCTCCTAAGAATTTTATTCTTGTGTGCCTGTGCTTCATTAAGCTTTTTTGCAATGCAGTTGAGAAAAAACTTCTATCCATTTGTCAGTGGTTGCACTTGGCCAGACAGCCTTCAAGAAGGCAATTCAGAGCTTTGTCTCTTTGCTCAAAATTGCTCAATAGGAAGCATCTTCTGAGACGGAAGCGTCACGTACGGTGAGAGGTCATTCATCATTCATCATATTTCCTCTTCAAGGAGAATGTTGGGCATAGCCAGAGCACGACCCTTAGGAGCTGCATTACTGGCATGCAGCTGCAGCTGCAGGTGATATGGCCATGAGAACACTTCCAGTTACGTCCCACTTCCCGTTAGGATCTTGTGATGAATTTCTAGGTAGAATGCAGTTTCCAGCAAGCAATGTTAAGTTGGGATTTATACTCTTTCTACCCAGAAGACCTAAATTCTGTTACATGTTTAAATAGATGAATACATCGTCAAAATCCTTTTCATAATACATATTCATGGAGGATTCAGTAAAATATTTCTGTCCATGTAATAGACTTATGCTAAAAATAACAGAGGAGGAGGAATATACAGCTGGTCCTGACTGGCATGAGTTATCTGAACAGGACAGACTTTCTGAATGAAACTTGAGACACTCTGGCAGTTTTCCAGCAAGTCTGTGAGCTAAGTTGGCTTCTGCCGTGGCTCTGCAAGCAACGCATGCAATGTAGAAGGGAGCAGGCAGGAGAGACCAAGACCACAGCTCTTGAGAGCTGCATAGTTATATTTCTCTAAGTGCATGTGTGAAACCACACTTTCACTTGCCTTATTAACAGCACCAGGCTGAGAGGCAGGGTAGGCATGTTTTTCTTTGACCCCTTGGCCATGGTTAAGCAATGGCTACAGTTGGCAAGTTGGCATTTTACATGAGCACAGCTTTAAGATGAACTTGGCCCCCAGCTTCTCAGGGGATAGCAGCAGCTCGCTCCTTCCAGGGCCCGGGACAGAGCAGCAGTGTCTCGGCAGGGCTGCACTAGGCAGCCTGTCAGCACAGCCCTGAGCATTTACTGGCAACAGTTCTATTCTTTTAGGGTGGGGAGTTAAAATACTGTGAAATTTATAAACACTTTCTTTCTATGGAAAAAACAAGTTGCTGTCAGCAATTAAATATGGTTCTATGGCTCGTGACTGAGGTAAGATGATGTTGGGAGGCCTCTCAACTTCTATGGCCTATGGTTTGAAAATCTTCCTTTGGTCTTTAGAACAAAAGATGATGACTGATAAAGAAAAACATTGATGTGTCCAGTGTTGGCTATCATTGTATATTGGCTGCATTGATTAATCAGTGCTATTGTTGGTTTTCTSTCAAAAATGCTGCTATTCTTGATGCACAAAAATGTTTTTGTGAAATCTTTGACTTAGTTTTAAACTGTGGAAGAAGATATTTTCTTACTGTTTGTTTAGTTAGCAATAAGCTGGTGTTCCAAAAAGAAAAAAGAAATCCATTTTRTCACAGCAAATTGATTAGCGAAATGTTCTTACTAGGGCCACAGTGTTTTATACAGATACGACTTGTATAACTTCAGATATGTTACTTGATCATAAGGTCAATGTATAGAATTGTGCTTTCAAGCATCTGTGGGCCAGGGCTATCAGCATGTTGCGCAGACTGAAAGCTAACTACTTTTTCAAATATCCTATTTATATGATTTGTTTGTAGTGTTTGGAGGGCAAAAAGTGGAACTAATTGCAGTCCTCTGATGCTCACCACTTAGAACCTTATGTTATATTGCAGGGATTCCCACTGAGGTGTGATTTTCATTCACAGAAGCAACAGGTCTATCAAAAAGCACAAACAAACAGTGCCAAACCACTGCTTGATTCTGTGTGACAGAGTCCATTCTAAACCTTCTCACATATGCAATTTGTAATTGCATTCCTACTGAAAATGCAATAGTGTTATCTCTTCCCCTGACATTGAAGATATTTTTGAAAGCACATTGAATGTGTTAGTGACTCACTTAAGCGACAAGATTTGTTTATAGAGAAGTCACACTACTAAATAGTGTTGTTAATACATTCCACACGTCATTTAACTTCCATTTTGTAGAATRTATAGGAGGCAAGAATCAGAGTTTATATGTTAATTCTTTGATCTACATCCTTCAAAACTGGCTATTTTTATAATAGAGATGATATCTAACACAGTTATGCAGAGGTTCAACACAACAACTTTCAAAAAATGATAGCAACAACAGAGAATATTTATTTTTTTCAGGTGACAAAATGATTTTCTGTTATGTAATTCCTGATTAGTACATGCTAATAAAATTGAAATGCTAACTTTAAAAAAAAATGATGTGGTATGCATATGTGTATATGCATATATCTGTGTAAATATATGCTCTGTACGTGTGTGTATATATATATATAATGCTGCTTAGAGTATTTTTAAAAAAAACAGTGTATGTGAGTTATTTAAGAGAAATTACTTTCTTTTCAGTTAGTGTTTTTCTGTATTTGTTCAAGGTTGCTGAAACCACTCAAAGCGACACAAGTGTCTCGTCGGGGGACGCCACCAAAAGTAGCATCCATTTTCTGCCTAATGAAACCAAGTTAGATCCTCAACTACAAAACAAAGACTTAAATACCAAAGAAAAAAACGATCTGGGTGTGGATGAGGATGATGCAGAGGGAGATTCTTTTTTTGATGATCCCATACCCAAACCAGAAAGAACTTACGGCTGGTAAGTTCCCTGGGTACTGYGGTTACTGTGCGCCATGAGTGACAAACGTGCCTCTCTTTGCAGGGCACCATGTGAAATGTATCGTGTTCCCRGCCTGTTCTTTGGTGGAAAGAACATGTCTGAGGTGCACACACCCCTGTGCTGCTTTTCCACAGTGAAGCTGCCCTTGTAGTCAGCTCTAAAGAGAGGAAAAATGTGAGGGAAGGAGCATTAGATATATGTGTGATTTTGTTGGGAGCACAAAAAAACCCCAAACTTCACTATGACACATGCATGTACTGGCTTCATAGACATGAGCACGAGGAAAGCGTTGCCTCACATGTGAGATTTGCCACTTCACATTGCAGCACCTTCTGTGGGCAGCTTTGCAGCAAAGTATTATTCTTTCTGCTTTTGTCAATTTTGCAGAGGTTTCTGCAGAATGTTTTTTTTTTTGTTTATTTTATTCCTGTTCTGTGGGGCGTGGTGAGGACTGACAAATACCACTTGAAAGAAGAAGCTGTGAGGTTGAGCTGCACCGTAGCTGGATAGCAGAACTGTGCRGTGCAGCAGCAGCAGCTGCTCTGTTACAATAACTCAAAAATCTCTTGAAGTTTATCCAGGGTATCTCTGCTGAGAAAAGCTGAAACATCATTTCATCATCTTCTTTTGCTGTGCTCAAGTAATATAAGGATTGCTCCAATTTAGTATAGATTACCACAAGAAATTGCAGAAAAAAATAAAATCAATCCAACAGTAGCTCCTCTTACGTCCTTTTTTTTTCCCCGCAGCTATCCTGATAGGCAGAGAAATGTAAACTTGTGCTAGTGCTACACTACTTCAGTAGTTCTGGTAATACTGATTGTGCAGATGTTGATCTTTTTTTTYCCTCTCCTTATTAATAGAACTTCTTTTTGATAGTGCTTCTTTATCCATTATTTGCAAGTAATATTTGAGCTTGACATTTCAAATGTGTGAAGGGAATGGATGGCAACCAAGTGAACTTTTAATAGATGGTGATGAGATCCATCTTGCTATAATTTTGAGAGGTATTTTCATTGCATGGACTGAAGGTTCTTAGAGTTAATAGGTTTGTCACATGAAGTCTTTTAATTGTAAAACAAACTAGCTTAATTTAATTATGTCTGAATCTTCTTTTGGCTCCATCTACAAGTGTAGATGATAAGAAGCCACTAATTTCAAAAGAAATGGTGATGAGGAAGATGCAGGAGCCCTGTCTGAAAGAAGGCTGACAGAAGTCTTTGCATAGATGAATTTCTCATTGAATGTCTTGCTTCACACTTTGGCCAGCAAGCAACCTGTTATTTTTGTAGACTGCAGGATGAATAGTCCTTTTTCCTTGCTTCTATTACTGAAAAAAATGCTGTCTAGTTTCACGACAGTCTTATGAATAATAGGAAAGAAAATTATTCTCTATTTTGAAGATCTGTAGAGTATTATTTGTCGGTTTGTTTTAGGAAAACGGAATCCAGTAAAGCAGGAGGTTTAGCATCTCTTTCTGATGCACCACCTTTAAAAAGCGGTGGGAGCTCCCTGACCAGCGCCCCTTTGCTAAAGGACCCTGATGGTGAGTTCACATATATAATTAGACCAATGCAGGGAATGAGCTACACACTCAGATATAACTGTGACTAGGTAGCCTGTGTTGGGCCCCCTTATGGTTGGTGTGTGCTTTGTGATAGTGAAAAATGCACTGGTGTATCTTATGTTTTGGAGTATCAAATATCTATTTTTTTCCAGCGAAGCAAAAATTTTACTGTTTATTCTTTTAAATGAAGTTAACTTAGTCTTTTTTATTATTAACCTGYGTTTTTTGTGCAAGTTCTTCAGGGATATTTACTACTATGTTATAAAATCTGATCCTATATATCCTTACTTATGTCTTTAAATACTTGCAGTATTAGCAAGTTTAGACCTGAAGATGGAATAAAATATTATGAGAGTATAATTAAACATTATGTAAGGTTGTTATGAAAGAATATTTGTTATAAATGGTTGATTGGTATGGTTAGGTAGGGTCTTACTTTCAACGAATCTTGAGCTAATTTTGTGCTGTGAATACTTTKTGTTTTGTTACAGATTTGAATAGAAACTCTGTTTTGAAAGACCTGCGCTTAGTGAATGCAAAACTCGGATCTTTAGAATTAGGCAAGTAACTACTAAGCACAAATAGGCACCCATATTTTTAACTCTTGTCTCAAAATAGAGCTGCCAAGTATTTAAACCTTGTCTTTAGCAATGSAATCCACCTACTAAAAGTATATGTTGAATTTCAAAGCATTTTAGCTATGCAATAGAGATGGAGATGAACTAATATCAATCATAAATTCAATCTCCTGCCAGCTATTGCTATCCATCAAACTCTATATTGTGGTGCAGGAACAGATTTTAAAGAGAAAACTTGCCTGATTTAACACGTCTTTAAAATTATTTAGGAAATGGAGATGAAGATGAGTATGCTGATGACTTCAACAGGTAAGAGATGAATAATATTGCAATACAGTGCTTTTAGATAATTAGCATATACTGAAACATATGTCTCAAGTTATTTCATAGTATTTTAGCTTCTGCATCTCCAGACTCCTTTAAACTTGTGGTTTTTTTTGTACAAATAGTTACCATTAAAACAACAGATTGTTTTTGCATAGGTAGTAGTGAGTTTCTTAAAATAGTATTAATTGTAAGATGCTGTAAAGTTGTTGCCCTTTTAAGGAAGTGTTGTTTTGTTTTGTTTTGTTTTTTCTGTGAAGCATATAGTAAATAGTGTTTAAATGTTTATTTAATGCTATTAGACAGTAGATGTTATCTATGCTGGATTATTCAAAACAATAAATCAGTAATAAAATATTGAGGAGCCTTGTCCTTACAATGCATTTGTTCTGCAGACTTGAGAATTGATCATAAGTATTTTGATCATAAGTATTTTGATCATAAGTATTTTGATCATGGCTTTATCTGTGTAAAAGATCCTTGTTTGTTGTGGACTTTTTCAAAAATTACTTAATATTTAACTTGCTAGCTAGTCGCATCCAATGCCCAATATAAATATATGAAATATTCTTTTATGTTTGAAAATAAAGTCCTTTTTCTACCTTTATGCTTTTCTTTCTCATTAGTACTAGTCATCGCTCAGAAAAAAGTGATATCAGTATTGGTGAAGAAATAGATGAAATTTCTGTGGAAACAGAAGACTTGAATACCAGTGATAAAGTATGATTCTTAAAATTTTATATATATTCTAATACTAATTTCTGTAAGCTTTCTGTATGCCTTTGTCATAAGTTCCTTAGATGCTAGAATTGTACTATTTGTATTCTGCTTTTTTACACTCAGAATTGAAAATACAAGAATTGCTCAGTAAAACAGTCTGCCATCTGTTTCTAGGCATATGCAATGTGTTGGAGAGTGGTTTAGTGTTCAACACATGAATGTCTCATCCTGTATCTGAAGACCTGTCTAATCCTTTCCTGAAGGAGCTGCCATCCCTCTGAAAGATAAGGCTTTAAGCCCAAAAGGATGGGGTGCTTTTTGTAAGGCTGAGGAGAGCAATACTTACTGTTTCAATGTAWGACTTCTGAATTTCATTTCATTCATAATTTCCTTTATCTTCCAGCTTGAAGACATCACGCAAGACCTTACCATTTCTCAGTTAAGTGATGCTGCAGATTATCTAGAAGATGTCGCATAGGGCTGGATGGAAAAAATGTCCCATTGTGTTGGATTGGAAGACTCTTGTGGACTGTTTATTTCAGACAATCATTTTTTGCTGGAATGTCCACTCCCTATTTGTGCCTTGTGTTTCAAAAAGACTGTCAGTGGAGAGGGCTTTCAAATATTCTTCACGCGACCTAAATGAAACCATGGGTTCCTATTTGCATCTAATATCAGAATAAKTTTTTTGTTTGATTCAGCCAAACTTTTCACACCAGGAGTTGGATTTTCCCAGCAGAATGCCTGCTGCTGGCAGTGGGCATAATAATCCAGTCTATAAGAGAACATCTACCCAGAAGCATGTGACTTTATTACAAACTTACACTGTTATTGTAACAGTCTGCATTTTTTTTTAAAGATAACCAAAGCAAGAACCTTCAGAGGTAGTGCTTCRGCTTACACTTGCGTTAACTCAGTTTTGTTGGGACAGCATGGATTGCATAATTTATGGAAAATCTAACCAGAGTACTTAATTGCTCCAGACATACTTGAAACTGCTGTTTTTCAGAATTTTCTGAAAGACTTCTTCTTTTTAAAGGCATATCAAGTTGAGAGCATCTAAACTCACAAATCTATTCAGAGGAGCTGAATTTCATATAAGTCTTAACTCTGAATATTCTTGTTTAAATATGTTTGTCAGACCATTGGTGTTAAGACCTAAACTGTTTTTATGTTTCATCGTTTTGTCAAGGTTAACAGTTGCTAAATTGTAAGACGTAATTGTGTAAGGATCCATGAGTCATTAATGCACAGCATTGAAGACAGGACAAAGACCCAAGATGATTTAGCTGACGGTTTGTGGAGCTTTTATTATTGAGAGCTCTTTGCTATCGGCTCACTTTCATTCTTTAAAATCCTTGTTACGTAAAAATAAGCGAACGAGCGCCAGAAAGTGTGAAACCACTAACCTTCTGGTTTTCAGACTGACTACAGTACAGATTAAAATCCAAATAGTAAAAAATAGCCCACTGAAGACACTGTACACACTAAATTCTMGCTAAGAGCAACTTTTTTCTATCTTCATTATGCTCTTGAAAAACAGGGTCAGCAGTGGAAACATTGACAGCTCCTAACGATACTGTTGTGCATGGCGCTGCCATAATATGTAGGTCATGGACATTTGTAATACTGAAACAAGACTTCAAAATGAGCACTTTCTGAAAATACACATGTAAGTGAATAGAAATGACTTAATTGCTTTTTTAGACTTTGTAATCTTGTTTCAAGAAAACTGTTAGCCTCTCACCACACCATGTCCATCTCAGAAGCAGTATGCGAAACTAAAGCCATTGGTTAAGCATATACAAGAGCTGCTGCTAGTGTTGGATGCAGACTTAGAGCTTTTTTGCACTGGGCCAGCAGGCCTGGAGCGGTGCTGGAAAGCTGTCTTGTACAGTACTTAGATCATTTGCAAGGGGAGAGCAAAAGCGTGCCTTTTATTTATGTGCCCCCCAAAATAGCCAGCAAAAAGCAATGAAGTTTTAGTCATGGTGGTTTTTTTATTTACTTTGTGCCATATTGTAGCAGCAGAACACAGAGGAGAGACTTTTTTTTTTCTCACCCCCAAAGTGGATGCGCCCTAGACGTCAAATAGTGAAGATCCTGTAACATGTGGCACACCTGGTGTATAGAATCCTTTAAGTGTGAGAGAACCTGTGCCTCGAGATACGTGCAAGTTTTTGTTTTGATTTTTAAGAGCAACAGTGTGTCTGAAGAGTGTTTCTATTATGAGCATTTGAGAAGCTTTGTGTTCATGACATTACATTTCTAAGGTGGATGAAACAGTAGAGAGCCCTGTCTGCTTTTTACATRTCTCTGGGAAAACACAGTGTTCCATTATCTGTTAGCTGTATGGTTTGTGGCAGTTTATTATACCAAAAGAAGATACCTTTATTAAATGATACCTATCTGCATTTGAAGATGTGGCCTTTTGAATAACTGATTAGATATTTTAAGTGTTAACATAACTTTTGTTAACAGCAAAGTGTTGTAACCTTGGGGGTTAATTGGAGACCTTGCACTTGGGCTCTAATTTAAGCAAACACCAAAAAGTTGCAAGTGTCCATACTGTTTATCCTGTGGGCTTTTACTCAGTTGTATATAGTAGTTCAAATTGTAAAATAAAGCTACTCTGCTGGCTAAACTGTGTTTTTGAGACTCCTTGAACTGAAAATGTTAAGGGTTAGGAAATGCAGCCAGCACTATGGGTATTGAGACTTCTCTTTAGGTCTGTGTGGGTACTTTTTTTTCTCCCTCTCTTTTTTTTTTTCCTTTTTTGGTTTCATATCRGGGGTTGTTAAGCCCAAAGAACTGTACAAATCTTGATGCTGATTCATTCAGTCTTTTTTGAACCTTTATAGGGTTCCAGGTATCAGCCTAAGTTACTGGATAGTTTATGAGTCAGCAGAGGAAGAAAAACAAAATCCTCTCTYGATTGGCAGTTTGTTGTTTGATGTGTTAGTTCAGTTGAGTTACTAAAACATGACTGAAAAGTTTGACCTTCTTGAAAGTGTGATTTGCTGTACGGTTGAAACCATGGTGCTCAGTATTTCTTAGATTAGGTTCATCCCCGAAGGACCCGATGCATTGCAAACCACCAGGACTTTAGTTGTCAATTCATAGATGGGAATGTCCCTCTTTAGCCATTTCTCTGTGTTGGTTCTTTCTTTTCCCAGATCTCTGTGGATAGAGAAGGAAGCAGCTGCGTAATGTCAGGTCTGTGCAGTTCTGTAGCAGCGAGACCAGCTTAGAAACACACTTTCATGAACACATGCCCTGTGCAATTGGTGTAACTTTTTTTTAACTAGTGATTTTGAAGAACTAAGCTATTGCTCACAGTTACCTACTGCTAATGTGGCTGTGGTAAGGATGAAGAATTATAAAAATGGTGCCTTAATGTGGTGGGATTTGGGGTGGTGGGATTTGGGTTCTTTTTTTCGTGCTGTTACTTTTCCCACTCTGCCTGTAGCAACAGCTGGACATTTGCACTGATGAAAATGCTATAACAAGACCGGGTTAACAAAAAACTTCTAAAAAAACTTCCGTGCCAAACTGTAGCTTTTTCTGCTAGGTAGGTCTCCTACTGCTTCCCAAAGCAATGTACATCATATTTAGACTATATATATCTATATATATATATGGTTTTAAAACCTCTTCAGAAGGTTTTAAAAAGTCTTATAGCTGATGTGGAAGGATAAGGTGACAAGGACAGAAAGTACAGGGTTTTTTTTTCTGTATTTTGATGTCTGTTTGTTTTCCGTTTTGTTTTAAGCATAGTTTTTGTCCTTGAAGCAATAATTTCTACAAGGCCCAGCCTTCTCTTGAGGAGAGAAAACATCCCTGGCTATTTCTGCTCTGTTATAGATAGAATTAATTTCTATTTTTCGCTTTATCTAAGTAGCAGGTGTTTTATCTTGACAAGATGACTGAAGTGTTTAATGTTCATTTCTTAAATTCCAGACATAGCATGCATCTTCCTTGGTGGCGCTTTCTGGCATTTTCCTTGTAAGCCTGGAGAAGCAGGAAATTTTAATTGAATTTCAAGCTAGAAATTTTAATTGAGATGCAATTTTAGTTGACTTGCAAGTGATCTCATTCATCTTGAAGCAAAATCCCCTACAGACTACCTATAATACAATATTGGAGAAAAGTAATTGGAGGTGCGAATGTCCTTGATTTCCACAAAAAAAAAAAAACAAAAAAAAAAAAACAGGAACTTGGATATTCAAGGTCAACGAGTTACCCAAAATTTAAACCTCCGAGAGAACTGCAGTGAACACTGAAAGTGCCAGTTCCTTAGTTCACATCATGAACAGTTCTAAATTCTCCCTATTAAAAAGGAGAAAAAACAAGTCCTTTCACTGTTTTCATAGGTGCTGAGGTACTAAAAGTTTACAGCTGTATCTTTAATATAGAAGATAAAAAAGTACATTTAGTTGTCCTTGCATGCACAATGTGTGATTTCAGTATATCTATAATCTGTTCAAGTTGGTCACAGCTTTAAACTCTCTGTAAAGCTTTCTTCCTAATCACTTATTTTTAAGTTTATTTCAGAGGGGAAATAAGCCCAAGCTTTTCTGTTCAAAAAAGCGCTCAAGTCCTGGGCCTTGAGGCGCATGACTTCAGGAGCGAAGTGCTGTGTGGATCTGAATATCAGTCTTTCAGGAGTAAGATCTCCAATAAATCAGTAGTAAGCCCTTAAGTTGGGAAAGAAGAGAAGATGGATGCCACTTCCCACCCACCCTTTTTTTTTTTTTTTATTCTGCTAGTGCAATCTTTAAACATTGCAGAGTAACTGGGCAGGAATAAGTATGGAGCTCATCCCAAACATGAGTGGATAACTAAAAGGCTGCTTTGGGGGACATTTGCTTTGTTGAATGAGCTGTGTTGACTGCTCCTAGCATTGTGGTTTCTCATCTTGCAAGATGTGTGTGTTGTGCAGGTGAGGGGAACAAAAGCCTTTAAATGTTCATCAAAAACCCTTTCAAAGCTTTGCAGGCGCAGTGCAGGGATGGTGACCTGATGCTTGCGAGGTGAGTGAACCGCAGCAGCATGAGGGGTTGCACGTTGAGCAGGAAATCTAATGGGGACGAGGCAGGTGAGCGAGGCTTCCGCTTGAGCACGGTGCGAGGAAGGAGCCTGTCTGCGGGGACCCGGCGTTCATGGCGTGGGAGAACCACGAGCAAGAACCGAGAGGCTCTGAGAAGCTGCCCGCTGGGTGGCGGGGAGCAGAGCACGGCTCGGCTTCCTATGTGACGCCCGGGCAGGGAGCAGGGTGCCCCTGTGGGAATAKGGGGATGGAGGGGAACAGGGAGGCCAGAGGCAGTGCTGGAAGTGGCACGGTGCAGGCCATGGGGCACGATGGTGTCACCAACCACCTGGCATGCTGGAGACCTCAGCCCAGACAAAAGTGAGGGCAGGATGTGGCTGTGCAGACCTCAGGCCGCAGGGAGGGCCTGCAGCTCCCCGCTGCAGCGGGTGACGTGCTGCGCTGGTCGGGTTACTGGGCCCCCAGGAGCAGCAGACTGGGTAGCACTGGGGAGGGCCGGCAGGAGGGCAAAGGCCCTTTGCGGTCACTGCAGGAGCAAGAGCCCGAGGCCTACCCTGCGTGGGAGCAGGGAGTGACCAGAGGCCGTGCTTACGCAGGGAGGGGGCTGCGTGTGCCGTGACAGCGGAGCTGGAAGCTTGTGGCCTCTGGCAGCAAGAAAGCTTTTTCTCCAACTGCAGGTGCTTGCTGGGAGAGCTGCAGGGGTGGGTAACAGGATGGAGGGAGTAAGGTCTGTTGGAGGATGAGTCTAGCCAAGCTGTTGGAGCTGGTGCCACTGAAAGAAAATAATAGGTAACAGCGAGGAATGTCCTTGTGCGGGCAGAGAATGCATCCATGTGTCCATCAGACCTGCTGCTCTGGGAGTTTGCTGCTTGCCTGAGCCTGTACCTGGCATGGTGCAGAGAGATGGCAGAGGGCCTACCCGTTTGTCAGACTGCTACACTCTGCTCACCTGCACGGGCACATGTGGCAGAGGAGTCCTGGAGTGAATCAAAGGTGACTTCAAGGCTCTTGAGTCTCAGGAGGAGCAGAACGTCTGAGCAGAACTACTGTGTCCCTGGAATGATGGAGACATGATGAAATGACCTGCACTATTGGGATGCTGTTGCACGGATACAGGCTCCACAGGCAGGAAACAAAAACTGGAGATTCTSCATAAAAAGTGGTTTGAATGAGCAGAACATAAATGGAACAGGATAAGTGAGAATAAGGCCTTTCAAGAGCTTATGGTGAGGGTTAAGGGGAAGSCGACAAAGAGGACATTTGTTAAGCACTTTGCCACAAACCACTTGATCAAGAAATGAAAGAGCATTTGAAGACTTTGAAGAGGCCACCTGATTACATTTTTCATGGTGACTTTCAGCCATTCCAGATCTGCATGAAGAGCAACATAGCAGGACATGAGCTGGGAGGTTCCTGGAGTGCACCAGGGACTATCAAATTCATATATATAACTTGAATGCCAGATGGCATGCTTTTTTGGGGGGGAAGGGAGATATTGTTTCTTCTTTACCTTAGTTTTTACTTGCAAAATTTTCTCTCAGACTTCTTTAAAATGTGGTGTACAGGGAAGGCTCCTGATGACTGAAAAAAAGGGAAATTGTCACCTCTGAATCTTTTAAAAAAGATGAGAAAGAAGGTCCACAGAGCTGTAGAGCAGCCAGCCTTGCCTCAGTCCTTGGCAAACTTGATGCAAGTCTTCATGGAAGCTATTCCTAGGCACGTGAAAAACAGTAAGGTGATGGAGGATATCCAGCATATGTTTATGAATGGCAAGTTGTGCCTGGCAAGCTGATGCTGTCTTTCATGAACTGATTGGCTCTGGGAGCTGAAGTGGTTGTCATCTGCTTTGACTTCACAGAATCACAGAATGGTTGCGTCCCTGTTCCAGCAGGGACATCCAGAGCACGGGGCACAGGGCGGCATCCAGGCGGGTKYGGAAGATCTCCAGAGAAGGAGACTCCACAGCCTCCCTGGGCAGCCTGTGCCAGGGCTCTGGCACCCTCACAGGAAAGAAGTTCCTCCTCACATGGAGATGGAACTGCCTGTGTTTCAACTTACACCTATTGCCCCTTATCCTATTGCTGGTCATCACTGAGAAGAGTTTGGCCCAAGAGTTGACCAAAGTTCAACAGGGTCTTCCATAGCATCCAAGGAACCAAACTGTGGAGTTACAGGATGCAGAGCAGACAAATTGCTCGGCATGTGGTTCAAGAGGAAATATTGAGTGACCAATGGCATTTCTCAGGGATCAGTATTGGGCAGATACTGTCTTACATCCTCCCTGGCAAACTGCATCATAGTGTGRGCTGCACCCTCATCACATTCACACATGACATCAACAGGGGTAATAAATGGAAGACAAGAATGCTGTTCAGAGGCCTTCTGGAGAAACAAGAGAGCTGGAGTACAGCAAGGGTGAAYGTGAAGTTCTGCACCTACAGCAAACTAGCCCGTTGAGGCTAGATCTAACGGGGTAAAAGCAGCTTTGCAGAACAGACAGTGAAGTCCTCTTGCAACAGTGCAAGGTGATAGCACACAGGGCTGCATTAGAAAGGCTGTAGCCAACTGAGTGAAGGGARTAGTTATTTCCCTTATACCCTTCTTACTTGTGGGACCACAGCTAGAGTACTGGGGTCAGTTTGGACTCACCAGTACAAGAGATTTCAAKAAAGTGGAAGGACCAGGGGTGACTTCTGGAGGACATATGAAGGGGATTGACCTGTGGTCCTCCACACCTAAAGGAGGTCTGTAAGGGACACAGAACCAGACTCTTTTCAGAAGTGCCAAGTGAAAGCAGAACTAGCCACAGTCGAATTGTACAAAGAGAAATTCACTATGGATATGGAGAAAAAAAAAATCACCAGGAAAGTAGTATGGGTTTGGAACAGATGCCAAGAGAGGTCAATTCTCCATCCTTGGAAGCTTCCAAATCTGAACTGGACAAGCTCTAAGCAACCTGATCTGGCTTTGAAGTCAGCCCTGTTGAGGCGCAAGGTTGGATTAGAGCACTGCAGAGAGCCCTTGCAACCAAAGCTGCTCTACAATTCTGCAAAAATGAACCTCCATATGGAAGATCAGTTACTGTGGGAATAGACAGACTCAGTCTGGCTGCTTTGTTGCACATGCAGACTGTCTTATTTGCATACAGAAACTGTTCAGCTGCCCAATTTATCTATGCAGATGTTCCCGTATATGCTGCTGAGAAAGGCCATCACTTTCAAAACTAGTAGTTTAATGTTACCCTTAGTATTGCATTCTTAACCTTCTAAAAAAATTAAAGCACAGAAAACTTGAACTTGGAGCATAGCCGGATGGTGTACTGTGCAGGTAAYGACAGCTGATCCGTACACTTAAAGGTTTTTTTTTAAGCAGATCTAGGATTTCTAAAAGTTCATTTTTAGTTACTTTAATTGGTTTTAATTATTTTGTTTCAATTACTCTAATTCTATTGGGAAACCACAAAAAACACTAGGTAGTAAAATCAGGTCAATTGCAGTTCCCTTGTGAAAGTATCACATGCTTCTTCATCACAAGAAGAGGTGCTTCAGTTTGTGTGAAGTGGAAAGAGTTCTACCTCCTGTTCACAGCCCGCATTTTGGTTGATAAGTGTCTTTCAGGGCTTGCTGCAAGATGTGTTATTGGGAAACGCATGAAGTGTGGCAGAGCACTGCTTCCAKTTACAGCTGTGKCACRGGTGATTGCATCAGTCTCTTTTATATTGAAATCCATGCTGTTTTACATACATAAATTCACAGAATCTCTGAATGGTTGAGKTTGGAAGGGGCCTCTAGAGATCCTCTAGTCCAACCCCCTGCTCCAKCAGGGACTCCCAGAGCACRGGGCACAGGGCGGCATCCAGGCRGGTTKGGAAGATCTCCAGAGGAGGAGACTCCACAGCCTCCCTGGGCAGCCTGTGCCAGGRCTCTGTGGCTTGTATTAGGTTGTGCGATTAAAAGCTSATCTTCACAAACATACAGGAGGTATGTTTGGAGGAGTACATTAAGGTAATTCTCACCAGTCTGAGACTACCTGGGCCTACACCGATCCCTCTGCAGGAGCAGGACTGTGAGATTCAGGAAACTGGATCCACACAGGTCTCCAAGTCCCTTAGGAAGTACCTTGAAGATGCTACAGTCCGCTCTGGCTTCACTTTCACGTGGGGAAATGTTGGGCTATGTGACTACAGACTCACCCCCACAAATGCAAAGGGGTGATGGTGGGCAGGGAAACCCCAAACCAGTATWCCCGGAGCCCCCTGCCCTGGCACCTGAGGTGGGCGGCTGGCTAGGGCCATGTGGGACTCAGGACAAAAGCCTTTGGGAATTGTACCAGACTTGCCATAGGATATTTAAGGGAAGGACCAAAAGAGGGGGGAWAGGGAGGAATGAAAGTGATTTGGAGATGAACAAGCATGGGAAAACTGAAGGAGCAGGTGACAAGACAGGTGGACCATGTGTAAACAGGCTGCTGGCAAGCACACTTTTCTGGCTCTGTCCTGTCCCTGGTTGACCACTGCCTGTCCTCTCTCATCAAACTSCCTTTCTGTTCTCCTAGGTGAAGGTGCTCTCTGTTCTGAGTGTGGGCATGAAGGTCCACGTTCAGCAACTGGGGTTGGCCCCCCAGTCACAGGGGCCTGCGTGTCCGTSGTGCAGCACCTGGTGAGACCACAGTGTGTGAATGCAGCGTGTGCGGGTGTCAGCGAGGAACTGCTAGCAAATACGGAGTTCAAGGACCCACTTGGTAGGATAAGACTCTTGGGAGCCAGGTATTGCGGTGGCCAGATACCAGAGAGTGTGAGAGTTGGCTGTTGGAGGGAGCAGGACATCTAGGGGCCACTACTGGTAAGGCCATAGGTCTGGACCAGCAACGGGAGACACCTGTTTGTGTGAGTTTCTGTGCATGAGGCAACTGAGAGTCCAGAGCCAGCAACTGCATAGCAGGAAGAGTAACTTGGCCAGTTACCCCAYGGAGTGAGAATGAGAGGATCTGTGCAGCAGCCCCTGAGGTGGCCTGTGGGCCTCAGGGCTTGTCTGCCCAGGTGCCAGCAACAGGGAACGTCAGGGCRAGGAAGGAGCCAGCTGCTGCCCAGGCCGAGTGTCTAAGGGGGGATCCATTCTGTGTGTGTGCATTCTCCACGAACAAGTTCTCATCCAGGAAGGGAATGGGATCAGGAGCTGCTTGTGTTTGGGCAAGTGCTGTTTTCTGCCCGTGGATGTGTGTGTGCTCTCAGAAGGGAAAGGGGAAGCRTGAGGTGATGGATCTAGCTGGTGACTTCTGACTAGCATTTGCGGTCAGGTCCCTAAAGCAGATACAAACAGTGCTTTCATCCTGTCTCAGTAAGGATGAGTACAGCACCAAACATTTCTAATTGCTTTATAACTCTAATAAGTGTTTTTTTTAGCCCCTTTCTAATGTGAATAAAGTCCTTGATAATAATCTAAATGATCTGGAATTGTGAATGAATTGAGCAGGTATCTAGGTCAGATCTTGAGCCATATCTTTCCTTAAAAATCCTTGTGATAATCCCTGTGATAGTAAGAAATTAATCTTGCAGTTGTACAGAACTAGCCTTCCACCTATAATTAGCCTGGCCACAGTTGTGAGAAGGGGCCCCTGCACTGTTCCATGCCTCACRTGAGTGACTGGTAGGCTGACTGATGTTTGCTTCACCTTTCAACTGCAGAGTAGGCAAGCTCTGCTCTTCCTCCTAAAAGGAAACTGATAAAATTTGAAAAATAAATGATTTGAACATTTTTAGCAGACTGAGGAGATATTATAACATCTTCTAGTTTCCAAAGAAGAAAGAAAACCTGGATATTACATATAGTTCAACTTTATCTTAAAACATTAATGGGAGAAACATAAAATTTAGAAAAACTCTTCAGAGAGTAAACTGTAGATSTATAAATAATGAGTGTTACCACCAAAAAAAAAAGTCTCCACCCATGTAGTTAATGGGTGCAACACTAACATTGCAAAGTTAGTGTTTCTCAGTCACCTTCTTTAAAATGTGCCATTTTAAAGTAAGTACCTGAATTAGAAACTGGTAAATGAAACTATGAAAAAATGAGTTTTGAACAGGTTTTTGCAATAGACTTTTAAGTTGCAGGTACCAGAAGTAAGCTTTACATGCTGACATTAGATATTCAAGGGCATTGGAAAAATATGCAAGCCTTCTTATGGGATTTTCACAAAAAGAAATTTAAAGTTCATGAATACCTCCTCTTCTCTCAGTTTCAAATTTTAATGAATGTGTGCTAATTTGATGCTGTTTAATTTGAAGAGGTTACAAGAATTAGTGAAAAAAAATGCATTGAGRAGGACAGGAATAATCTAACCTGAGAAGCTGGCATAAAATAAACTTGCATGATGCTAATGCGCAGTAGCTCTTCTGCACTAATTTATTGCATGAATACTCTTGTTTTGCCTTGCATATCAAAGTGCATTAAGCTAAACTGTGAAACGACATGCAGACAAACTGGAGATGTACTAAAAATATGAGTAAGAAGGAATGTCAAGCACCATTTTGAAA